CCGGAGGATCAGCACATTAGGCGAATGTTCCGCAGTTTGGGGAGTTTGCAGGTACATCTATCCTTTCCTTACTTAGTTCGGATTATGCTGAATGTTTAAGTGTGAATGATTGGATTAATGACACTGGTGCAACATGTCATATGTGTTATAGTTTAGAAAATATGATAAATCTTAGGAATGTAACTGCATACACACCTGTATTTCTGCCTGATGGTAGTATTAGGGAAGTACATAAAATAGGCGATGTCGTAATATCACCCACATTGACCCTCTTTGGTTGTTTATACATCCCTTCTTTAAACCACAACATGTTATCCGTCAAGAAACTTGCACAGTTTTTCCTAATTTGCTAGTTCTTCGACACCTTTTGCTTGCTGCAGGATCTTAAATCTGGTCAGGTCATTGCAGCTGGTAAAGTGGTTCGAGGCCTATACATCATCAATACCGATTCTTTTACTTCTCAAGCTATTCAAAAGAGTCAACAGTTCTACGCCTCTTATGCACTAAGAGCTAGACAGTTTAATGCAAATAAGGCCTATACAGTCGTTGATGTAGCCGTTTGGCATAATAGACTTGGACATCCTTCCCCCATTACACTTAGACATATTTCAGATGATATTCATACTTCTGTAAACCATAAATCTCATGATATATGTGAAGTTTGTCCACTTGCAAAACAACATCGTAGTTCTTTTCCCACTAGTTCTATTCAAAGTACTACTATTTTCCAGCTTATTCACTTGGATGTTTGGGGACCTTATAAGCATGCCATTGGGAATGGGTTTCGTTTTTTTCTTACTGTTGTAGATGATTACAGCCGGTGTACCTGGACCTTCTTAATGAAATATAAAACCCAGGTTCCTATTCTTCTTGAAAATTTTTTTCTTATGGTGCAAACTCAATTCCGTAGCACTGTTAAAACCGTTAGAAGTGACAATGGAACTGAATTTCTTAGTGAGTGTTGCCAGTCGGTTCTTTCTAAGCATGGTATTTTACATCATAAAACTTGTCCCTATACTCCACAGCAAAATGGAGTTGTTGAACAAAAACATCAACATCTACTCCAGGTTGCTAGATCTCTATTAATTATATCTCATTTACCTAAAGCTTTCTGGGGAGATGCTATTCTTACAGCCACCCATCTTATTAATCGTTTACCCTCTGTCATCTTGAACTGGCAATCCCCTTTTGAGCTTTTATATCACAGGAAACCAGACCTCACTCCTCTCCGCACTTTTGGTTGCCTTGCATTTGCTGTCGATAATACATCCAGTCGAGATAAATTTGATCCTAGAAGTCACAAAGTGATCTTTATTGGGTATCCTCCTGGCCAAAAAGGCTACAAGATTTTTTGTCCATCTTTGCATAAAACTATTGTGTCTCGTGATGTCATATTTCATGAGCACATCTTTCCACTTTCTCAATCTTTGCAACCTGAGTTTGTGTTGCCTATTCCTGTGAATGACTGCTTGCCTAATGATGCTTTCCATCTCTCTCCCTCAGTTTCTTCATCTCCTCCTATCAGTTCCACTCCTTCTATTCCTTCTTCTCCATCAGATTCACCCCCTTCAGTCCCTGCTCTTCGACGCAGTTCTAGACCTACCAAATTACCTACCCGTTTTGATGATTTCGTTCTTGTCAATTCCTGTATTGTTGATGATTCTTGCAGTTACATCACTAATGATTGTTGTCTTTTCTCTAAAACACATGCGTCTTTTGTTACTAATTTGTCAACTTTTCGAGAACCTTACACTTATAATCAAGCTAGAACTAATGTCAAGTGGATAGATGCCATGAATCAGGAATTAGAAGCCTTAGAACGTAATCAGACCTGGGAACTTACTTCTTTGCCCTTAGGAAAGAAACCAATTGGTTCTAAATGGGTGTATCGGGTTAAATGTAAACCAGATGGAAGTATTGATCGTTTTAAGGCTAGACTCGTCGCTAAGGGTTACACTCAGGTAGCAGGCGAGGACTATTCTGAGATTTTTTCCCCTGTAGCTAAATCTGTAACTGTCCGATTCATGTTTGCCATTGCTACTAGTTACTCTTGGCCTTTACATCAGCTCGATGTAAATAACGCTTTTCTTCACGGGTCTCTTGATGAAGAAGTGTACATGTTACCTCCCCCTGGTTATCATAAAGCTCTTCCTGGCCAAGTATGCAAGTTGCATAAATCTCTTTACGGACTTAAACAGGCTTCCCGACAGTGGAATGCTGAGTTTACCTCCAAATTACTTGATTTTGGGTTTGCACAATCTGCCAACGATTAGGGGTGATAATTCGGTCGGTTTAGGCGGGTTTCGGTTAAATCGGTTCGGATAAATCGGTTTTGCAGCTCTCAACAATCCGCCCGCAAAACGAACCGATATTGTACAACACCGCACCCGATCCGACCGAATAATTTTTTTGTTTAAGCGGTTCGGGTTTCGGTTCAGCCGAATTATTGTTCTGCTTCTTTTTGGTTCAAATCTCAAACTTTCAAACTTTGGTTCAGACTTTAATCTTTCACGTTCCCAGATTTCCAAAGTTCAAATACATCTAATCTTCCCAAGACAAAAGAATCATGACTGAAATCCACTCATCCCAGATAATTATTCTCCAGAATGATGTCAATCTTCCATTTTTTTCAAGACAAAAACAATTCAATCAAATGAATTCATAATCCCCAGTCTTCACATAACACAAGTAATCTCAAAACAAATTACAACAAATCAAATAAGAAGGGGTTTGAAGTCTTTTCGTATGCTGATTCAAATCTGGATCTTAAATCGGAGAAAAATACGGAGCTGAAAAAAGTGAAGCTTGAGTAGGAGAAGGAGAGAAAAAGATATCGGCAAGCTATTAGAAAAAAGAGTGAAAATTGAAATTAAAAACCTATGGATTGAACTGAAGTGAAGATTGGAAGAGGTGAATAGCCGCTGCCGGGTTTGAGGAAAAGAGAAGAGGAGAGGGAGACGAGAAGATTGAGGGAAATCGGAAATTAGAAAGCTTTAGTAGATTAAAAGTTATCCTTTATATATATATATTATTATATATTAAATTTAATTTATTATATATACGGGTTTCGGGCGGGCCTCGATTTTTTTCCTTGACACTCGTCCCTGAACCGAATTACTCTCTTATTTTTCGGGTTTACCCAAAACCCGCACCGCAAATTATTTACCCGCACCAAACGACCCGTATTCCATTCGGTTCGGGCGGGTTTTCGGGTTGACCCGAATAACTAGCGCCCCTACCAATGATCATTGTCTTTTTACTCTGATCACTCCTGCTTATCAGATTTTTCTTCTTGTTTACGTCGATGACGTTTTGCTCACTGGTTCTGATGAAGACCAGCTTGCTAAGGTAAAAACCTTTTTAGATGAGATGTTCACCATTAAGGATCTTGGTATGGCTAAATACTTTTTAGGCATGGAAATTGCCAGATCTGCTACTGGCATTTATATTTGTCAGCATAAGTATATCACTGACATCCTGCGTGATACTGAATTGCTTGACTGTCATCCAGTTTCTACTCCCTTCCCTGCAAATTTTCGGTTTTTGGCTAAAGATCCCAGTCTTGTTTTTCCTGATCCCGCCAAATATAGACGGTTGATAGGCCGATTGTTATACCTTAATTTCACTCGCCCTGACCTTGCCTACGCCGTCCAACAGCTCAGTCAATTTGTACATGCTTCCTTACAGTCTCACTGGCAAGCTGCTGTTCATGTTCTCAAGTATCTTGCTGGTTGTTCTTCTAAGAGTTTGTTCTATCCCAGTGGTACTTCACTTCAACCTCGTGTTTATAGTGATGCTGACTGGGGTAGTTGCCAGTTTACTTGACGCTCTTTAACTGGTTTCTGCATCTTTCTTGGTGATTGCTTGGTTTCCTGGAAAATCATGAAACAGACCACGGTATCTAGTTCTTCGGCTGAAGCAGAATACAGGGCCATGGCGGTTACAGCCCGAGAACTTCAATGGATTACTTTTGTTCTTCATGATCTTCATTTTACACCTTCTCTGCCTATTGCTTTTTGGTGTGACAACAAGGCTGCCATTCACATTTCAGCCAATCTTGTTTTCCACGAGCGCACCAAGCATATTGACATTGACTGTCATATAGTCCGGGACCTTTATAAACAGGGATTCATCACTCTTAATCACATCAGTTCCTCTCACCAGCTTGCAGACTTGTTGACCAAATCCCCTTTCCTACATTTGATGTGCTTCTTGGTAAGATGGGCTTATCCCAAGCTCATCTTGAGGAGGAGGTGTTGAGTAATCAGAATGCATTCGGAGTTGAAGCTAATCAGGCCAATAAAGTCTTAGATTTCCGGGATACATGATTCTTTTTTGTATAGCAATTGTACAGTTGATATTATAGTTTTTTGTTAATACAGGGACTGTCTTCTAAATACTTGATAGTTAGGGTATTTGACTTAGTCAATACGGTATACATATGAACAATGTACAGAATGAATGTATGATTTTGACAGAATTCGTGAATATACAATTTTTCCCCAATTTGCTCGAACCCTAATCTCTTCTTCTTCTCCAAGATTATTATTATTATTTGGTGTTAATTAATCTAACGGATCGGCCAAAAACACAGCTTACCGTCGTATATTGAAAAGGTACGTTCATATGGTAAATTTTGTTCCCGCAATTCACAATTTAGAAGATAGCAACAGTTAACCGACATATCGTACATGCCCTTTTTCTCTTTTTCCCGTTCCTTTTGTCCAACATTAATCATTACCAGTTGTCGGCCTAACGAAACCCAACTTTTCTTTGTCTTTTCATTATCAAGCTTTACCTAATTATTGGAAGAAGTCAAGTGGATTAATTTAGGTGAACTTATGTGTCTATTAAAAAAATTTTCATATTTGCGTTGGATTGTTTTTCAACTTTAGCAACGGAAAAAAAGAAAATGCATAGTGGGCGAAAAAAAACTTCACCAATAATACCATGATCTACCATGGTGAGATGCAAATGTTTTCTTTTTTCCTTTTTTTTTTACACTTTGGTTTTACGCGCGTGCTTTGTTTTCATATACTGTATGCTAACCTTTTTGTATACTATTAATTTAAAATCACTTAAATGGTATGGCCTAGTTGATATATATTAGAAACCAAAATGGGACAAATTGAAATTGGAGATAGATATATTTACATGTCGAAAATTCAAAATGGAATTACAGTTCCACGACAAAATTTGGCTAACAATCTTTTTCTTCCTACGTTAGACTATATATTAATTTAATTAATTAATTAAATCCAAGGTCAAAAATGCTATTTCTCTTTCGCCGGGTGGGATTTCCCCACGACGACGTACTTTTGGTCCGACCAGAACAACCAGAAGATCCTTTATGCATGCTACGCTGCATTAGGTTGTCCAGTTGACTTTGCCACCGACGTTGCCACTCTTTCTCTTCCTCATCCATCCTCTGTCATATTATTAAACCAAACATCAAATTAATTAGTAACTAAATTTTCTCCAAGTTTAATTACTAGCAAGCAATATTTCTTCCGTCCCCAAAAAAAATAAAAAATCACATAATATAAAATTCAAAACTCGGACATTTTTTTTTTCAGGGCAGAGGTAACAATACTTAAAAAGCTAGCTAGCAACAATTTGTTAATAATAATGTTAATTAAATTACCTGATGATCATATCTTCTTCTGGTAGTAGAAAAGTTTGATTGCAAACCTCGAGCTAAATCAACATCATACATAGCTCTGGTTTGGGGATCTGAAAGCGTTTCGTAAGCTTCCTTCACCATAATAAACCGCTGGGTGTATTCCTCCGTACAACCCGACGGTGACACATCTGGGTGGTACTTTCGGGCTAACTGTTTGTAGGCCCGTTTGATTTCTGAAGTCGAACAACCCGTCTCCGAAATTCCCAGCAATTCGTAGAAACTCTCCGGGGAGGTTTGCGCCGGCGTACAGACGGCGGCCACGGCTCTGGCTCTGTACGCTTTCGCCGGAACTCGAAGCCTTGTTGGAGAATTTAGCTGAGATCCAAATCCCTTGCTGGGGGTGTTGGGAAACAGGGATAAGTATCCACCGGTAAGCACTTTAGTAGTACTCGTCATTATGATTTTGATGATCAACTTGTTTTTTTTTTTTTTTAATACTATTGTTTATGAGTTTGGTTTGAAGATTGAAATGATTAAAGAAAAAAGTGGAGAAGGGTATTTATAGGGGGAGATTGAAAGTAGAATGATCAATTATTCAATTAAATAAAAAGGGTTCGGGTCGGGGTGGACGTGACAAGGAAGCTTCGAAATTCTGTGAATGTCGTGTAAAAGCGGAATTCAAGACCGTGGGTTGGCCTTTGTTTGTTTCGTCCTTTCTGGGATTGGATTGGATTGGACGGAAAGTAATACAAGCGGCTTTTTCCTTTCAATGATCCAGCGGCTAAGTGTAGTAGCTAATAGCCACCCTTCCTTTATTTATTGTTAATACTGAAGTAATAATGATTTAAACAAAATAAAAATAAAAATACTGAAGGTATAATTGATTTGGTTGTAAAAAAAAAAAAAAAGTAATACTACTCATTTCGTCCCGAAATGATTGTCTAATTTAATTACTCGATCTCCATCGGTGGTTGTTTGCTTGCTCCGCTCCATCCCCATATCGTCAAATTTGCTTGTCTGCCGGTATCACGGATGCGATCTATTGGTCAGCCAATGTTGTATTATCTATTTAATTTATTTTTATTTTATTTTTGGTGTTTTTACCGTTGTTTTTTAATTCAATTAAGTGAAATTTCTCACCCTCACTATAGATCCTGTTTAGATTCTTTACTGAATGAATATAGTGCGCTAACAGAGCCACGTGTATCGTCTGCTTTCTCTGATTCAGTAGATCCTGTTCGATCTGCCGATTGTTGCACGTCGTCTTTAATGATGGCTAGTTTGGCTCGGGAATTTTCAGTCACGGTGAATCTATTATCTAGATTTACTAATTGGTGCTTTTAATCCGATGGTTAGTGACCTACTCAAGTTTAGATTTTTTAATCTGTTCCGTTATATGTCTAACAATAGAATCATGCCGTTGGAGGATCTTTCCTTCCGGGAATAACAATTGGTTGGTGAAAATTCTATTTTATATTTCCAGTTGTAATAATTTAGTAACTAGTTTAGTGATTGTATTCTCCCGTCAGTTGTTGTTAGACGGTTTTTATTAATCAGAGCTGGCTGATTTCCAGTTTCTCTCTTTATAAATAAATATATATATATATATCATTACTATTATACGGTTCTAAAGAGTAATTGATATAAACAAAATTACTATTAAATAGAATTGTATTCAACAAATACAGTCGCTATTATGAAATGGGAAAAAATATTTATTGCTCCTTTCGTCCTAAAATGATTGTCCAATTTGATTTTTTATTTTTAGTTTAAATTGTAAATCCAAACTAGACAATAATTTTGAGAGATGGAAAGTAATAAAAATAATATGAATATAGGAACGTGATGATGGTGACTTATGTGGTTATCTACATTTCTAAATGATTAAATTTTGCTGCTCTCTTCCGAGTAAAGAAAAGTTGTATCTTGTGCATTTATATCTTAACATATTTCTATATCCAAATTCGTTATTTGCATAACAAATGTACACGGTAAAATCTTTATAAATTAATCAACTTGGATCTTTAAAAATTTATTAATTTGTAGAGTTATTAATTTATCGATAAATCAATAATTTAAGGAGTTATTAATTTATGTTATTAATTTATCAATAAAATAATATTTTATTAATTTAAAGTTTTTTTTTCAATTATATGAGTAAGAAAATAAAAAAACTCATTATTTTTATATCAAGAAAAGTTCGTTGTAGCCCTAGCTATAATATTATAATTTTTTTTAATGAAACAAAAACATGATAATTTTAATAAACAAAAATACTTTAGTTAAAACTTAAGTTAATATTCAAATCTAATTTATTATTTTAGGTATTTATTAATTCATGAAATTGTGGAGATCAATATTTACATAAGAGATTCTTGAAAAATTATTATTTAATAAATTAATCGAGTTTTCTCATTTTTTGTATTGGTCTTGAGTTGGGTCGAAAAAAATACTATTTAATAGAGGTTGTTAATTAACGGATGATTAATTTGGAGAGTTTTACACTTTTACTGTATATGTTCATTCTCCAAATCTGTAAAGCTTTTTTTAAACAGTAATATATACCATCAATTAAACTTATTATCAATTAAAGTTTCTATTGAAATAAGGTAATAATTGACAAATGGACATAATCAATAAAGAATAATATTTCTTTCGTTGAAATTATTGTTTAGTTTATATTTTGGGAACGGGGGGGAGTTTTCACATATTGTGTCTCATTTTTACCGTATATTTTCATTAGATGCAACACTTGATTTTTTTTTTTAACTGTATAAGAAAAGGAAAAAAAAGTTAAAAGAAAGAAAATCCACTGGATAAAGATTAGGATTGCTGACCAGGAGAGTCTCGTCGTGTGGACCATTTGTATGATTGACTTGTGCATTATTCTTCTTCCTTCTTCTGGAGACGGCTGAGGTGGCAATTGGCATACATCTTTCTGCCTTTTAATTATTTCGTCATTTGAAACTTTTCGGTGTCAATGAAATTCTATCCGAATTCAATGGCATACGCAGTCTTGCACACTTGTGTTTTCTGTAACACGGTCCCAACTTGGCCACTACGCACTTTTTATCATTGCCTTTTTGAATTAACATGAAAATGCCAAGAATGTAATGACAGCATTCGTCCCTTAAATTTGACACCACTCACCGTCTCATATTAACAACTAAGTTCATCTACATATCGTAACACGACTCCTATTACTTTTTGCTAGAATCAACCTGTATTGGGTAACAAGCAATAATTAATCTTTGAATGTCTGGAGATACAATAAAAAGGTATAATAATACTTTCTAAATCTCATTAAAATAATTCGCATTGTAAATTGTATTTAAAATAGTAAAATTTACAATTTTACGATTAATTTTATAGGAAAAACAGAGTATAACTATTTACTTTTAATTTTAATCAAGGTTAATCACATATTGATTGTTATGGATTCTAAACCAAAAATATGACAGTTCCAAACTTCAAGTATTCTCAGCAGTTTCGAAAATGACTTGATGTATGGTTTACTAACAACTTGTATTCAGTCCAACAACTTGTTTTTTATTTTATTTTTTTCTGTTAACAAAGAGTGAAGGCAAATAGGCAATACTCCACCAATAATCCAAATAAATTACTTGATCAAGCATGATAAGCAATTGAATCCTTTGATATTACACTTACATTATACTATTTATAAAAGATTATCAAAGGATGTCCGTCCCAGTCTCTTGAATCTCAGTTTTTATTGGGACGCATACCGACTGACTCGAAGCTTGGGTATCCAAGATCCCGATCCACGAGTAGTAGAATGTTTTAGAGTCGAGGGAGGTGCTTCTGCTTATCTAACTGCAAATGAATGTAGGATTGTGAATTTTTCAAACACGGGAGATTACGATGAACACAAGTCTTGTAACCCAAAGAATTTATTCTCGATTCCAATTCGGCCACGGAAGCTATGCATACCCTTGCCCCACACTATCGATCTTTCAGAGATTTTCTTGGTATAGCGTTGTGAGAACACCATAATGTCAGAGCTTGCTGGTTTAGTTAAGAATGGTGATATCAAATGTACTATTTAGTTGCGAATTTCTACCACTTTGTGCCATTGCAGACTTGCAGTTGGATATTTTTCAAGAATGAAACTAAAACTCGTACCATAAAAGTAGAAAGAATTTTTGCATAGTAAGAGTGATCCACACTCTTTAGAGATATTTTGTGCATACGTTTAGAGATAATAATTCTGGTGTAAATATCTTTGTTAAAGTGACACTTGATATAGATCGATGGTCATATTCTTTTGATATTCCCCAAGTTACATTATTATTTTGTTAGACAATAATTGTAGAGGTTTATTTTTTTATTTTTATACAATTTTTATAAACATTTAGGCTATGACGTGTGTGAGTCTGGGGTCAGGATCTACTACTAGCCTAGTTTAGTGGGGAACGACTTCACGCCTGCAACGCCTCTACCATTTGGTTTCGAATTCGGGATCTCCCGATTAGATGCTTAGCCTTTTACTACTTGGACCACCCCTGTAGAGGTTCATTTGGTTGTATTATGAGGAGTTTTTTGTGGTTCACGAAAAAAAAAAAAAAGAAAATTTGGTTGTATTATGAGGAGTTTTTTGTGGTTCACGAAAAAAAAAAAAGAAAAAAAGAAGGGCAAAATAGTTTTTAGGAGTTGTAAAATTCGAATGGTAGTTTTTAAAATATCAAAACTTGATGGATGTGTAACACTAGGGCTTATCATTTTATTTGAGCTCTTCCACACTTGGGCTTTACATAATCTTTGAACCAAAGATTTCTCAATGCCCAATTCATTTGTAAGAAAGCAAGTGATAAACTATTTCCATTGGATTCTTTAGATATGGGCTGAAAGAAAATCCTATCCTTAGTCCGCTATTATAGCTTGGTCATGTCCACAGGTGTAGAATTTGTACCTCGCAATTATAGTCATTTGTTCCAAAAAAAATAAAATAATTTATCGTGTCAAACCACTTCAATCAAACAACAATAAATTGGTTTTCTAGAAGACATTTACGCTCTTGTGTATCATTTTCCAGCCTTGACTCCATGTCGACGTTCTTATTCTTTCACTAGTCGCAATGTTGAAAATTCCGTCACAAGAACTGAATTTGATTGGCTGACATTGGTCATATAAGCACTACAATTACAACAGTCTCAGTTCAATTTCTTGAAGAAATGGAACTTTTCACTCCCCTGCTACCAATTGCTGGATTTTTGGCTCTGTTATTACTTCTCAAGCGGTGGAAACAATCGAGTCATCAGAACCCAGAGAACAAGCTCAAATACGCCCCAGAATCAGCCGGCGGATGGCCTGTAATAGGCCACCTTCTTCAACTGACTAGCCATGAAACTCTGGCAAGATCCTTAGGAGCTTTGGCTGATAAATACGGCCCTGTTTTCCGGATTCGTATTGGTATGAGCCCCTGCTTAGTTGTGAGTAATTGGGAAGCTGTTAAAGAATGTTTCACATCCAAAGATAAAGTATTTGCATCACGCCCAAATTCAAGTGCCGGAATCTACCTCGGTTACAATTATGCCGGTTTTGGTTTCGCCGCTTATGGTCCTTACTGGCGAGAATTGCGAAAGATAGTCTTGGTTGAAGTCCTTTCCAGCCGAAGGCTTGAATCCCTCCGGCATATCCGAATTTCGGAACTCGAAAACAGCATCAGGGAATTGTTCTGGCTAGGAAACACCGGAATTGATCGTCGTCCGGCGGCGAAAGTGGTGATGAGTGAGTGGTTCGAGCAATTGACTCTGAATATAATTGTGAGGACAATTACTGGGAAAAGATACAACGGTGAGGATGAAATTGGAGGCGGGAAATATTTTAGGAAAGTTGTGAAGGAGTTTATGCACGTGTCGGGGCAGTTTGTGTTGTCCGACGTGATTCCGGTTTCGTTCTTGAAGTGGTTGGAATATTTTTTAGGACACATTAAAACCATGAAACGAATTGCGAAAGAGCTTGATACTATAACCCAGATTTGGATCGATGATCACGTTGAGAGGAGAAGGGCCGGCGGGAAGACCGACGATGATGACGAAGAACAACAACAAGACTTCATTGACGTGATGCTTTCAGCAATCAAAGACGACTTTGTGGATGAATTTGGACACTCGCGAGAGACCGTCATCAAAGCCACAGTACAGGTCAGAGTCACTAATTTCTCCATCTTTTTAAACTTTCTATCCGACGTCTCTTTCTTCATCAACTCATTTATTATAAGTATAAGTACATTATTATTGTCCATCCGTGACATTTTCGTCATAATCATTTGCTACGACACTTCAAGTGCCCGTGAAAGTTCATGGTCGTTTTTCTTTGTTGATTGGTTATCGCCTAATTGCCGTCCAAAATATCTCAATTTTGATTAATTATATCCTCATTAGGGTTAGATAAGCTTCGTTTGTCCTGTTGAAGAATTTGTAAATTGTAGTAGTCCATAAACAGTAAAAATAACGTCACCTAATTCACTGCGTCCTAAAAGACTCTAAAAAAACTTTGTAGTGCGTTTCAGAATATAATATTGGCAGGATCGGACACGACATCAACACATTTGACATGGGTCCTAAGCCTTTTACTGAACAATCCACACGACATGAAACAAGCCCAAGAAGAAATCGACCATATTGTGGGTAAGGAAAGATGGGCAGAAGAAACTGACATAAAGAATCTGGTTTACCTGCAAGCCATTGTGAAAGAAGCATTGCGTTTATATCCGCCAGGCCCAATATCAGTGCCACACCTAGCCCGGGAAGATACAGAGGTCAGCGGATACCACGTTCCCAAGGGGACCCGTTTGTTTGTTAATCTGTGGAAGCTGCATCGGGACCCGAGGATTTGGTCGGATCCCGATACGTTTCTGCCGGAAAGATTCATGGGTAGCCACGCAGAGGTCGATTTCTCCGGGCAGAATCATTTCGAGTTCATCCCTTTTGGGTCCGGGCGGCGAGCGTGTCCGGGACTGACGTTTGCGATGCAAGTGACGCATTTGACGCTGGCAAGGTTGCTTCAGGGATTTAGTTTCGCGACGGTTTCGGAGTTGCCGGTGGACATGGCTGAAGGTCAAGGAATTACGTTGCCAAAGCTTAATCCATTGGAAGTGTTGATCATGCCTCGCTTGTCTCATTCTCCTTTATCTCCTAAACTAGAGTAACAATTGCTATGTTGCAGCATTATAGTACTTGTAATAATTCGTTTGTTACTTCAGACTTCAAAGTTTGAACTTACAATTGAGAATTAAGCCGATATTACAATACGATTTTCTCCACCACAAAGAAGACTAAAAAAATCTAGATTTGAGAATTCAAATCAAGCCATATCGCATGGAAAACACTAACTATGGATGAACCAACCTCAAATACTGAAAATACATTATCAAACTAGACATTAGAAGAGCCCAAATAGAAAAAAAGAAAATTTTGTTACAAACTTTCAATCTTTTAATGATTCCATCATCCACCAGTAGAATACAATTTCTTAATGTTTTTCTTTTACTCTATATTTTATCTACAATATAGAAATTCAAGTTTGATCAAAATGATTGGGATTTGGGAGAATCATTATAGCAATACCCTGTTGCTCCCTTATTCTTCTCGATATAATAATAAATTAATAATAGTCATCGATCATTATAATAGACCTATCTCAAAACGGATAAGTATGTAGATGGGATATGTAGCATTAAAGATCCCATCAACCCTCCAAAAAAAAGGGGTAATATAAAAAATACTATCGAGATTTAGATGATTCTAAAATATTTTGGAAAATTTGGCTACGGTAGAAGAGGTCAAATTAATAAAATGGGTATGACCAAAAAAATATTTTGCGTGAAGGGCAGTAATTTATTTGTGAAAACTCTTAAAATAAAAAAAATTATGAATTGACAATATCACTCTTATAATTTCTTATAAAAAAATTTAAAAAATATGAAAGCCTAAATTGTTTTTTTAATGGAATAACCATGGAATGACCCTTTTCAAAAAAAAAAAAAAAAACAATAGAATGACTATGTTTTTTTTGATGACCAATACATAGAAGCAGCGTATCAGAATTTATTGGTGGTGTAACAAAATCCTGATAGTAAGCAGTTGCCAAAGTGGTAAAAGTTTTTGTGCTTAGGTCGAAATCTTGAAGTAAACTTCGCGAATTGAGATAAATATCAAAGACAATATTATTGGCAGCGGTACTTACAATGTCGCAAAATTGCAGCGAAAGGAGATATTAATAGCCAATGTTCACATTAAACCGCCATGTGAAATTGAAATTGACATCAGCATCGCCAGATGAATTCATTTCAGTACAAGTAGCATATATGCTACGGATGGAATCGCAGAATTATTGGTGAATGCAGAAGCAGGGGACACCAAGAAAGCTTGATCATTCACCCAAGCTCGGCCTAATATGTCATTTGTAAACGTCAGAAGACTTCCAGCGATATTAACCCTTGCAACTGTTCGAGGGAATTATTCACTAGACCAGTGAATGATGATGAGGTACCGGTTATAGTTGCATCATCTGGGATGAGAAAGTCTGGTGCTGAAACAACTTCCCCAGCATTTATGAAAGAGAATGAATTCGAAGGATCAAACGTGATCGAGATCTGCCCGAATGTCACATTTACTTAAAATTCTTTCATAATTACACTTAGGAGAAAAATTCCCAAGGAGGACATCTTTGTCGGTTGAAACAGTGTGAATTTCACAAAGCTCATCTCGTAACTGCCATAAACAAAGGGGGCGAAATACAAACGGATCTAGAAATTTATTGAATATTCATATCAAGAAATTGTTATAACCGGTAAGGGGGATTATTTTCATATTTTTTGTTATTTCTTGTGCGTAAGAAATTGTAAGGGGCTATTGTCCATTCAAATTATTTTTTATTTTGAGATTTTTGACAAATGAATTACCGCCCTTTATACAAAATATTTTTTGGTCATACCCCTTTTATTAAAAGTGAGAAAAGCATGTTTGTAAAACTCTCTTGGAATTTTTTTTTCAAATTCTAATAAAATCAATTATCAGCTTTAAAATCGCAAATTCAGTTTTTTACAAGCTCTAGAAAGATGAATTTTTGAATTTAGGAGCGTATATTTAATTAGTTAAAGGTTAAAAAGATTAAAAGATGGTTTCTACGGGTTATAAACGTCGTTTCAATGCTTTTTTTTTTTTAACTGAATTCATACACACATTAATTATCAGTAGCCGAAAAAAAATTTTAAATGTTGACTTACCGATCAAAAGATCTTTCTTCATATATTCTTAAATAGTAAGTAGTAAAAGTGGTTTAGAAAATCATCTAAATCTCGGGTGTTTTTTATATTAATCCCCAGAAAAAAAAAAAAGAATCCCAACAACTCTGATTTAATTTCAACTAGATGCTTGTCCCGGACAAATGTCCGGGGGCGTCCCACCTAATAAATTGATATGTAAATAATCAAAACTGATTAGGAATGAATTTAGTTTTTGATGAAAATAATTGATTGATCGAAAATTAATTTTTTCAAAAGTCCTAAATAAATGGAGAAGGAAAATTCCATACACTGTCAAATTCAAAATTTGAATGAACATGGCCATCTGATCTCTTCGTTAATATTGTAAATATATATTTTATTTTTAAAAGGATGTGACACGTGGCAGAATGATTTATACAATATGGTGCATTTGGAGCCAAAATATTTTAATAAAAAATTGCCACATCAGCATCCTGTTTTCTGCTTTAATAGGGTAAAAAGGATAATTAATCCACTTCCAATTGGACAAATCATTAATGTTCACTGATACTAGTACTTGTCCTAATAAAAAAGGAACTGCGTGAATCATGAAATAAATAAAACACAGTAGTAGTATTTATAGCGTTTATTACTACTAATAAAAAATAAAATAGAATTCTGAATAAGATGTCCAGGTCAGCGGCGAGGAATAACCCGCCAACGTTTCTGACTGAGGTGTCAAGAGCTGATTCGTTTCCCGATCCTGAAAGAACCACATTAAATTGGGGCAGTAGGCAGTAGCGCTTCAACGGTACTTCCAAACCAGAGGAAAAAACAGAAGGTTAAAAGTCAAACACTGGGTGACTGAACATCTGAATCATTCGAAAAACTTGGTAGTTCTCTAAACTTGTTAAGGCGGAAGGCATATTCCGTGTGCGGTGGTGTCCGAAGAGATGGGTCAACGGAGGAATTCGCCGGTGAACCAGATGTCTAGATGGGTGAGGAGGCAGTCTATGAAGGTGAAGACTTTCTTGGCCGTATCGACTGTGATTTTCGCACTGGTGGCTCTCAAATTACTCATCAAGAATCAAGACAACTTTTTTGTTGCCTCCGAGGCTGTTCATTTTCTGGGTATCGTAGTACTCATATACAAGCTCACCACCCAGAAGAGTTGTTCTGGTAATTTTACCATTACTAATTGTCTAGAATTGCTTCTTTTCCATTGGCGCTTTCTGGCCGTGTTTTTCTATTTGTTTCAATACCTTCTAAAAAATTTGTCCTTTCGGTTTTCTAATTGCTAGGAAATCAATTAACAATCTGTGGGAGTGTTTCTTTCTTTGGCTGATGTTTATATGACCCTTTTTTTTCTTTTAATTGTTATTGTTCAATTGTTTCAGGGCTTTCATTGAAGTTTCAGGAGCTGACGGCTATCTTCCTTGCTGTAAGATTGGCCTGTAGTGTATCAATGGAGGGTGACGTTCACACAGTACTTGATTTTGTCACCCTTGTGTCGACTCTTTGGGTCATTTACATGATGAGGTTTAAATTGAAATCAACCTATGCCTCCGATCTGGACACCATGCCCCTTTACTATGTGGTAAACACTCTCTCCTATATATCTCTAATTTTTGAAATCCCGAGTGCTTGTGTAGGATTTGATTGCATTATTTCACTTTATCTTGGATGCATGCCTGTTATCTTTGTGATCATATTCATTTGGATTTAGCGTCTCTTTCTTCACTGAAAAAGAGGACTTAATTATTTGGCCCGAGATTTGTCTGTTTGAGTAGCTTTCATTGCCTCATTTGTTGCTAAACTGCTTCCAACCTAGAATTTTGTGGGAGAAGTTCCTTTGTGTGATTTATTCTTCAAACCACAGCAATATCGGTAGGAAGAATCACAAAGAGATTTGTAATCTAGTGGAAACTTGAACTCATCATTCAGCTCTGATGCTCATGTTTTAGGACTTACATGAGAGTGTAAAAAGTTTCACAATCGCTTTACAAGTATATGGTATCTGGTGACAGGTGGTGCCTTGTGGAATGCTAGCCTTTAGTTTTCATCCTATGACCTCACATGCTTTGATCAACAGAATTGCGTGGGCATTTTGTGTCTACGTAGAGGCCGTCTCGGTGCTGCCTCAACTTCGGATGGTCCAGAAAGCAAAGGTTCTTACAAATATTATTTATTTAAAACTTGATACCACTTTTTGGTTCTATTTATTTAAGAGAGTAACTTCGTTTTTGTTTTGTAACTTGTCAGTATATTGAACCTTTTACCGCACATTATGTGTTCGCTTTGGGTGTGGCAAGATTTCTTGGCTTTGCTCATTGGATTATTCAGGTTAGTGCAAAATGAGAAGCTTCATTGGTTGCAGAATATCTATTTGTTCTTATTGTCTTAGGGTTTATTTCGAATGACATAAAGGCATTAGATTGACAAGTAATAGTAATTGTTATTACTTATCATCTCCTGGCTAAGTTCTGCTCCCTTTTATGTGAGAGTTGAATTTACCACTGTGTTACTGATGGAATAAACTATGTTTTCCATAGACCAATAAAAATGTTTATGACTAATCAAATGTAGTAGGTTTTTAAGTTAACACTGTTTAATGTTGGTATCATCACCATTGCATGAATGAGTTGCAACCACTTATACCATTATTAATTCACCTACAGGTTTATGATACAAGAGGAATGGCTCTGCTTCTAATGACAGGCCCGTACATTTGGCGACCAATTGTTTTCCTGGCCGAGATAATCCAGACATTCATCTTGGCTGACTTTTGCTATTACTATGTGAAGAGGTGAGCCGTTATGTATCAAGCTTGTTCTTAACTTCTTCTCTGGACATGAGTGTTAGAGAAACACTAATGGTTTCATTTATCCTGTTTTGCAGCCTTATGAAGGGTCAAGTCCTGGCTAATCTGCCTGTCTGATAGACTCATGAACCTAATGGTGGTCGACCCTTGCCAGCTTAATCGTTCAATAAGCTGAATGTATTGACGACAGATGATGACCATCGTGTGTAATTTGTCACTCGGATGTATCAGGGCACTGCCTTTTCTGTCCAATCTCTAGCTCTTCTTTTTTTTTGGGACAAAGTTGTACAAGCTCTTGGTATATTCTTCTTGGCAATCTCTTATACCTTTTTCAATTTTCTTTTTTCTTCTCTCTCTCTCTCTCTTTTTTTGTTGGGTTGTTGTTTCTGCTAACCATATGAAAAGAATTGTGGGTTAGAACATGAAAGGGTTAGTTGATCTAGCTAGTAAAATGAACAAAGCAAATATTGATACTCAGACGAGTTAGGCGTTACCAGGATTTAGGAGAATGGTGGATTGGATAAATAGGTCAACTCCGTACTCCCTGCATGGACAAAATTTTCTACATAGTAGTTCCAACGTCAAAAAAAAGGGACAAAAAGGTGATACTGAAGCCCTTTTTCACACTATTTGACCTTTTCAAATTTCAAATGCTTTCGTGTGATTTGCTTGGGTGTTAGGTTTTGGGAGTCCTTAGGTTGCCAAAATCACCAACCTGATGCTTTTCCTGGGTTGATTAACCTGATTCTCACTTTGTGTGTGTGATTAATAATTAAAATAATTGTGGACCGGAGGATTAGGATTGAAGAGTTGGAAGAAAAACGAAATGCGTTATTAAAACAACTAATAGGAAGAAATTTTGTCGAGAAACTCAAACCAGAAAGTCTGAAACCTCTAAAGTTAATGGATAGAATCATAGAACTGGCTTAATTGGTAGCCATTGAGGTTCCCCCTCCTTTGCAAATTCTCTTCAAAATGCTGCAAAAACCAAACACGGCAAGCAAAGCACATTTTAGATGGAAATGTGTCTCAACTGGATAAATCTTCTAAGTGAGGAATTTTTATTTTTTTTTACAATTTTACAATCCAAGATTTTCTAGATCCAAAGTAGACAAATTCCTGTTTGTTCACCCACAATCCTATGTCCATGGAACATCGGTTTCGGCCTACACCCTAATTGACTAGAACAGGAAATGGAGGATACCAAGATCTTTCAGATGAAGTTGGAGAAATTCAAAGCAAATACTCCACTTTGGAATCACCCAACAAAAAAATAAAAATAAAAATAGTACCAAATAAAAAAAGGAAATTTTTTTTAAAAAAAAATACTACAATTTTAACTTGGAAAAGGTCACGGTGATGATAACAATTACAGCAGAAACATCATTTGTTTATTTATTATTGAGTAGCACAAATATTAAGAATTTTATATTGACTTGTGGAAACAGTCATCATTTTTCATGAAAATGTCAAATATTTGTGCTATATATTCAGCCAAGTCGATCCTATATCCAAAAAAAGAAGCCACTCGACCCCTTTAAGAATGGAGATGTTCTCTAATTAGGCCCAAAATGTTTAGAAAGATCCAGATGCTGTAATCCATTTATGATTCAAGCCCATGAATTAAAGGCCTTCCTAAGCTCCTACATTTTTTGCCACCTCCTCTCCTTCTAAATAAAAATCAATAAAATTTCCCTCGAAATTCTGAGTTCAGCATTTATGGCCTTAATCTATACTTTCAATGAGAATCAACCAATTAGTGTTTCGTACCACTCACCTGACCAGGGTTTGTATGAATCCAGCAGTAAATGCATCGAAATCAATCAGGAGAATAATCAGAAGACGTAAAAAAAAGGAAAAAAAAATGATTAAAATGCCAACGTATCAGTGCATTAATATGATAGTAGATTTTTACGAGTTTCTTGGTGATGTATTTCCGGTCATTCAAATTGTTCATCAAATTAAACGACCACCGGCACAACATCTTGGAGTTGGGGTGCTGCAGGAAGACAGATTTATGATTATGGGTTCTTTTGGACGGAGGAATTCCCCGTTGATTTGGTTGTCATCGTGGCTGAAGAGCCGAGCCCTGAAGAAGACAACATTATTGGCGGTAATATTAGCCTTTCTTCTCCTTCTGATTGTTCTGAGACTGTTTGTCAAAAACCCAGACCACTTCTTCATTGCTTCGGAGGCTTGTCATTTAGCCGGGATCGTTGTTCTGATTTACAAACTCACCACCAAAAAGACCTGCTCCGGTAACAACCATCAATTCACCTCAAAAGAAAAAACCTTTTTTTTCTTTTTTTTTGGCTATGTTTCAATTCCTTTAATTGCTCTTTGCTAATTTGGTTTTTTTTTTGGCTATGTTTCAATTGCCTTAATTGCTCTTTGTTAATTGTATTTTCCTCGTAGGCTTATCGTTGCAGTCTCAGGAGCTGACTCTGATATATTTGGGGCTAAGCCTTTACTCGAGTGTTTTCATCCATGATCACAGCCATGGCCTTATATACTCTTTACTTGATTTGGCTACAATTCTATCAACTTTATGGGTTATATATACCATGCGATTCAAATTGAAGTCAACCTACGTTGCAGCGTTGGACAATACGCCCCATTATTATCTGGTATGTTCCTAAATAAAACAGAGCTCCCACAGGACAGGGGAGGGGTTTTTTTCTTTTACCTTTGGTTAAATTCTAACATGTTTTTGCAATTTGTGTACATGATTGCACTGTTTTTAGGTTGTTCCATGTGCAATTCTAGCTTTGATTGTCCATCCACATTTATTCAGTGGGTTTATGAGCAAAATCCTATTGGCATTTTCTGTTTATATTGAAGCTGTAGCCGTAGTGCCCCAACTTCGCTTAATTAAGAATGCCAAGGTAAGACCGTATCATATATGTAGAATTTTGTTCTTCGATTCTATAAGTACGTATATAATACTGATTCTATAGCTGTGTGGTAGATGATTGAACCATTCACTGCTCACTATGTTTTCGCCTTGGGTATCTCAAGATTCTTGAGCTGTGCTCATTGGATAATTCAGGTCAGTTCTTGTTAACAGTCAAACGTTAGAACTTAGGGTATTAATTATGCATAATTTTTTGCATTTTTTTTCTCTAAGCGAGTTGCTTCTTGTATACTTTGCAGGTTTACGAATCGGCTGGGAAGTATATGCTAATGGTAGGAAACGGGTACTTGTGGGTTTTAATGGCACTCCTCGCAGAAATTGTTCAGACATTCATATTGGCTGACTTTTGTTACTATTACATTAAGAGGTACCAACTAGGCAACTACCTTGTTCAATTGGTTATCCCGCTACATACCTCATTTTTTCCGTGCGATTCAGTTCAACAAAAAATAGATGTATCCATATGAAACGAAGTTTAATTGTTGCATTTTTCTTTGACAGTGTGATCACCAGAGGCCAGCTTGTTGTCACCATGCCTCTGCCTGTCTGATTGCAGAGTCCCAACTTCCCAACCGAAGTCTCAATGGAAGATGGAAAGGTTCTGTGAACACATCCAGTCAACTATGGTACATGGTAGTGAAAAATAGTGACTGATTTGAAAATGGTTGTTTCTTTATTATGGGTTCTTACCTATATGGCTTAAGAGAGCTAGAACTATTCTGCCAATGCTAAATAAAAGTACCTGAAACTCATATGAAGATCAATTTTCAATTCCCCATCTTTACAGTGTACACAACATGGTGTCCTTTCTTTAATTCCACCAAGTCTTAATTTGGTCAGTGTTCTCAACTTCTCATTGTATTGGATATTAATTTGGTTTTGGGACTGTCCTCCCTCGCCCAATTTCAACGTACCAAAAGAGTAGTTCAAAGCCGACGAACGTGTTGGGCTCAAAGCCTTTGAAGGTGTGTGTTAGTAGATTACTAAAACCAGCAAGCTATAATAAATGTGAATGGTAGCACCTAACATGTAAAGGGTAGCTTTAAAGCTGAATGAGAGAAGGTATCATCATTTGGAGAATGCGTCAAATGGGATGTGGTTAAAAAAAGAGTTTGGAACTGATTTGGCACTTTGTCAGCTCGAAACGAAACCCATGCAAAAAGAGAAAGCGTTACTTTAAGGATCGATGCCGGGTGTGTGTATGCGATTTGAAATGAGAGCTAACCCTCTTTATTTCTAAGCTCATTTGGCATTACTGGTGGGCGGAAAATAAGGCTTCAAGTTACTTTTTGATTAAAGGGAAATTGTCATCAATTATATATAGTAAGACGTTTAACTTTGTAATAACTCACGAGCATCACATTCTCACTAAATTTAACGGTAATGGTCAAGCATTCGATTATAACGTGCATAATTTTTGTATTTATCCATATTTGAAAAATCAAGAGCCAGAGATAGACACAAGTATTTACCTGTACTAATGTGTCCTCTTTTCTTTTTAATCTTAAATCAAATCAATTTCTTTCACGATACAAATGCCTAATTCATTCCCTCCGGAATACGTTTCAATCAACCAAACCCACTATTGCGTCAACCCAAATTCAAATTTTTCATGGGCTTTTTTAAGCGCCCTGGACCCCACCTTCAAATAGCTAACCTGGCTCAGTACAAGAGAACCAATCCCGGCTCGTGTTAAATCCAAACCGGGTTCTCCCGCCACGACACGTCACCATCGTCCAAGAAACAAAAGCTGCAAAAATAGAAAGAAAAACAGTAAAAACTCGGCTGGCTGCTGACCTATCCCATCACATCATCACAGGGGGCCCCCACATCCAGTCCTCCTCAGACTTGCTTTCCTCTACGAAACTCCCCGTATGGTAAAAACCGGCCCGACAACGTTTACACGTGTCGTGTTCTCATCTTGTTACGTGGTCGCCTCTCTGTGGTGAAGGCGACGGTGCAGATTCAGGAGGAGACATGAAGATCTGCGACCACGTGTCCCGTCATCCTCTCTACGCTACCCGCCAAAAGTACCAAAGGCTGAAAATCCCCTAAATCGAACACGTGTCGAGTCGTGATGACATTTTCTGCACGTGCTTCGGAAGTGCAACACGTGTCGCGGTGACAGCGCATGCAAAATGCAGGCCTATGTTTTTTTTTCTTTTTGGTTTGAGAATCCTGAATTAACCTTAATCATCAACAATTAGTACTTTTAAATCAATCCTGATTACGGTTATCCGTATTTAACGTTTGTTTTCGAAAAGTTGAGTAAAACATCTCAGCCATCTCTTGCATACGTGTCAGCCGACCTCTCCTCTCTATTCCCTTCCTCCCTCCACGTGGCGCTCATCCTCCTCACTTTAACCGCTCCTATTCTTTGCCTTTTTGTGTGTTGGCTGGCTCTGAGCTTTCTTTTATTTTGGATGGGTTTTAATTTGTTTTGTTTTCGAACAACGTTGGAAGGAGAGGAGATATTATCATCATTATGAAGTCCTTAATTTTCTTAGTTGTCTGACATATATTCTTTCAATTGAATTAATTTTTTTTTCTCAGTTGGGTTTGGTTTGGGAAAAAAAGATAATGTTGGAGGTATCAAGAGTTGGTGTGGCAGAGAGTGACGATGAAATTGAGCTGAGTTTGGAGTTATCAATTGGGGGAAGATATGGGAAATGCAAGAAACCCAGGCAGCAGATAATTGAGGAATCTTCTTCCTTGCGCAGGGAAAATCATGAAAAAGCGGTAATTGAAAATGTGGTAATTCCAAGGCCCGTTTTTCCATTTCCTGAGGCCTCTGCAATTCGGGTTGGGGGTGAGTTTCAAGTGGAGGCGGGTATTGAGACCGCCACAACCGGGTCGGGTATTCCGGAGTCGACGGTGGATCAAACCCGGAAGCGAGAGATTCAGGCATTGAGAAGGTTGGAAGCAAGGAGGAAGAGGGAAGTGAGAATGAGAAAATCAGCAGGTTGGTTCAGAGGAATCACCATTAATGGGAATGGTAATAACAATAATAATTGTTTTGACAAGGTGGGTCTTGAGGCGCAAAAGTTTCAAGAACGGGCTCAAGATAGGAAAATCAGAGAAGACGAAAGCTTGTTGTTAGATGATGATACGGCACATAGGAAAAAGGACACTCTTAAAGTTACCAACTTTGCAGTGAAAAACGATGAAACGGCCATTCAAGGCCAATGTGTTCCGTTGAAGGACGGATTTTCGTATCAGGCGTATGGGGCGCCGCCGGGTTACGGTGGCGGTGGTGTTCGGAACGAGGAGAATGAGATGAAGGAGAAGCAGCAGAATAAAATGTTTCAACCTGTCGCTTGTGGGAGTTTTAGGCCTTATGTTAATGGGAATGGGAATAATAATTCGGAGATTGTCAGGCAAAATTCAGAGGCTACTGGTCAAGATTCTTCGGGACAGAACCAAAGTGGCATTATCACTAGGATTGTAAACCAAAATGCTGCATCTAATGGGTCTCTGGAGAGGAGTTCATCAGCCGTTTCAGATTACAGAAGCACCTCTGGGAAAGGTAAATGTTTTTTTTTTTTTTGCATTTTCAGTGTTTCGTCATATCTTATCCAATTATCTCCAATTTAGTTTGTAATGTAGCTCAATCTCTATCTAATTATCTTGTTGAACGCCAATCTTCTTAAATTGGCAGCATTAATGAAAGTCAATTTGGTAGCATTTTATATTTTTTGATCTCCTGAGAGTATTTGTTTACATCCACACTGGCCTAACTGGAAAAATAATTTTGTTTAATCATTTAATGCAGTTTACTGGAGAATAAAAAAAGTGTAGCAAATGAATTACAAATATATTACTTGGTAGCAACCAAATTAAAATGAACCAACATTCCCTGTTCCTTTAAATTAATATAATCTTTTCCCTAAAGAGATTATCATTTGTCAGCAGGGTTTCTTAATACCACGGGCTAGTAGGCGGCAATGGTAGTGTGTTTGACCACGGTCAACTACCCATTAGCAGACTCCTTCCTTGAACTCCCACACCCCAGTTTTACTCATTCCTCCAGAAATAACATAAGAACATTCTTTACAACTGTGCTTTTGATTAGGAATTTGTACCAAGACTCACGTTTCTATGTTCTAGACAATTGATGAGAGCAGTATATGTGCCACCTACATTCTTCATGTTTTATTTTCTTGTTAAGGAAATTCGATTGTTTGTGTTATAACTTTGTTTGTACTGGTTTAGGAGGAAGCACGAGCGATACTGGAAGCCATTCTAGCTGCTTACAAGCTAATGACAGACAGTTGAGTATCACTGCTACCAGCAATACACAAAATCAGGCCGAAATCAATGCAAAATTGCTAGCACCCAAGAATTCTACCACCAAATTGCCAAGGGAATCAGACTGTGGCGCAGGCGACAACACTGCAGCAATTTACAAAGTCAAAACTGAACCTGAGGCAGTGACATCAAAGCCGGAAAACCCAACTTCTAATCATCTGAAGCAATCTAGTAACTCCTCAGACAATCCTTCCAACCATCAACAGCAGCAGAACTGTGGCCATCGCATGCCACCGCTCCCGCAGATGCCCTGTGTTTCCACCACAGGAAACGGGCCAAACGGGAAAACCGTAACCGGTTTTCTTTACAGGTACACTAAGAATGAAGTCAGCATCGTCTGTGTTTGCCATGGGAGTTCTTTTACCCCGGCTGAGTTTGTGGAGCATGCAGGAGGGACCGACGTGACTAATCCGCTCCGGCACATAACCATGGTTGCTTCACCGTTTGTATGACTTATCTAACTCACAGAACTTCTCCTTAGTTTTAATGTTGTCTTTTTTGGACTTTCTCGCTTGCTTGGACATATTGCGATAGAACAGCAACCAAATGTGAATACTTTTAGCTTAGATACATGGGTGGTTCAGTGATTTCAATCGGTTAAGGGAACATTGCCATTTTGATATATGGGCAGCTTGGCTCTTTTGATAAAATTTTTTCCTAATTTATTTGCCCCAGAATCTGGATTTCTACTCTACGTGGAGAGAATATCCTCAAAATTTAACGCCTTTTTTGCCTCTAAGCCTGATTCTTTGGGGACAGGGACTACTGTTTAAAGGATCACAATAATATGTTTGATTCTTGGGCCAAAAATCGAAGTGGCATTATTGTGAACCCAAATGCTGTATCAAATTGGTCTCCCGAGGGGAGTTAATCGGCCAGTTTCAGATTATAATAGCGCCTCCGGAAAAGGTTTTAATTTTTTAAAAAAGGAAAAAAACAGATCTGCATAGTCCTTTAGCTAAAGAGTATCTTTTCTTTCATACTAGCAACTATTTCATTCTATCCACAATAGTACTCAAGAGTGAGGCATATGAAGGCCCTCATTACTAGGGGCTTTATAAACGTTGGAAACAAAAAAACATTTAGGCAGACCAGTGACGGAACGAGAATTTTCAAATCGCGGGGTCGAAAATAAGATTATTCAACAGTCACCGGAGGGTCGAACTGAAAAAATTTCAAATAATGGACACCCTACTAAGAAAAAATTTGGCCAAATTCAGCCAGCCGGGGGGTCGATCGACCACCCTGACCTCCCCTTAAATCCGTCACTGAGGCAGACCGAAAAATTAACAAAGCTGTTAACCAAGAAGAAAGTAAAAACACAGTGTATGTTGAGTTTTGAGATTTGTATAAGGTTTACTACAAATTTGAAAAAGTAATGAACCATTTTTCCCCTAAGCTGAAGCAAATGTGTGTAAAATATCTCTTGAAGAGGGCCTTAAATTGGGAATTACAAATGCTAGTGATATTATTCATCTAAAAGATTGTTTTCACATATATAGTACTACCTCTGTCCCAAAAAAATAGTTCACATTGAGTTTTCAAATTTGTACTAATATTAGTACAAAACTCAAATTTCAATGTGGATTATTTTTGTGGGACGGAGGGAGTATTATTAAATTCACATATATAGTACTATCTCTGTCCAAAAAAAATAGTTCACATTGAGTTTTCAAATTTGTACTGAAAATAATACAAAACTCAAAACTCAATGTGGATTATTTTTGTGGGACGGAGAGAGTATTATTAAAATACTAAGAAGTCGGTTAGATGAGGTACATGGGCTTGCTTATTACCATTCTCAATGTTATATTTCTTAATTTTTCTTCAATATATGATTTCATTGTTAAAAAAAAAAGAAAAAGAAAAAGACGGGTAGTATTTTTTTAAAAAAAAAACAATAAAAAAAGTAACCAAATTAAGTACTCTCTTAATGAGTTATCTAAGAACTCAATTAAGAAAATAGATATACTCCCTCCATTTCAATTTGTGGATCGTTTTAAGTTTGGAGAGATTTTTCAAAATATAGGTCGTTTTACAAATTCTAAGCAATTTATGATTACTTTTTCAACTTTACCCTCAATAAATGATGCCAATATATTTTGACTTAGTCTTGTTTATAGTTTCAATGTAATTAATAAGGGATAAACCAGATATTTAACACATGAATTAATTATTGAATGATTGTCTCCTTAATTTACCTACAAAATCTAAAATGACTTACATTTTGAAATGGAAGGAGTATATTGATTGAATAAAATAAAATAGACATATATTGAGTTATCAAATAAAAATAGACATAGATAATATTGATGGGAGTTTCCCCTTTTCAAAAAATAAAAAATAAATTAAGTACTCCGGGAAGGAAATAAAACAACTGTGTTAATAATCTTCGTTCGCAGCACGGCAAAACCGACTTGTCTTCCAGTTTCTAATCTGAAAGACAAGAAGATTTATAACCAAAAGAAATAATGCCTCTATTCATTTACTTCTCCATTTCAAAAACTGTAAGTCACTTTAACGAAAAAGATAATTACTCACTTCGTTTCAAAATAAGTGTCATTTTAGCAAAATGGAGAAATTTCAAAATAAGTATAGTTCTCACATTTCAATGTACTTTTTGTATGAAGTTTCCAATATTACCCTCAAAACAATGAATACTATTGGTGGATATTTTTTTAATGTGGTTAATTGAGGATATTCAAGTAATTTTATTACCTTATTTAAGGGGCTAATTTATGTGTTAAATATATATTTTATCCATAATTAATTACATTGAAACTACAAACAAACTAAAAAAAAGTTGATCAGTATGATTTATTGAGGGTAAAGTTAGAAAAACAATCATTAATTTGCCTTGAAATGCTAAGACGAATTACATTTTAAAAAATTTCTATACCCACTTGCATTTTGAAATGGAGGGATATCTGCTAGGTTCAATTCTTAGCGCCAAGGTTAGAATCCAGTGCGATTACTGGTTCGATTACTCGTTCTACTGCGAGGAAGTTTTTAGGCACACTCTTTATCCTTTCGATCGTTTCTTATTAGTTCTTGTGTGTTATAATAGTTTCGTTAATTTATTCATGATGAGGCCAGCAGAATTGTCGCGCAAATATTAATTTTGATGTTGCATTAAAAAAATTCCTCTTCCCCCTTGCCCCGAACTCGTCTCGTTGTTGATTGAAATAAATATTCGGGTTTATGGGTTGATTTTATATTTTGATGGAAATAAGCAGTGATTCAAGGTTATGGGGGGAGGTCGTTGGAGACAGCTGGAAATTGGAAGAGCCGGGTAAACCTGAGCTTGTTCCTATGCAGTTGGATGATGATTCGCTGGCATTTTCCCCTCGTCCCGCCGTTAGTGTTCGTTTTCTTCTTCCTTTTACATTTTGACCATGATCAATGCTTAATCTTTGCAATGTTTCTTTTTTTCGCTCGGTTTGTTTTGTTTATTTTTTGTACCATTGTTTATAGCGCCGCAATGACCCTAGGTATGAAAAGGGAACCACAGCATTGGGTTTTATTTTCCAGAATCAAATGGTAATGTTAGTCCTTGATCATGCAAGTGTATCATCATCCATCTGGTGCATTTCCCGACAACCTTTTGGTACTCAACTCGCACCTGCTTGCCGTTTTTTTCTGGAGGCAGCGAAAATTCTCGACAATTTTGGCTCAAACTGCCGGCGCAGGTACTTGCTGCTTCTGTACTTTGTGAACTCTCGGTTTTACTTTGGATTCTTTTTACCTTGGAAAGACTGGCATTTGTAATTCTTGTGGACATTGTGGCTGTTCTAGTTTCACGAGCATGACCTCAAAGAAGGGAGAAAAGCTTCTGCTGCAGATGCTTCCCGGTGGCTGGCTGATTTTCTGTCTCTTCATCTTGACACTGATGACAGTTTGTCACTTGGAATATTGGTCGCTGGGTGGGACAACATTTCGGTTAATCTAAATTAGAATGGTCTCTGCTTTTGGGTTTTCCCTATGACACTTATTGAATTGAATAAATTGATCATGGTTTACCTTTCTGTAGGGACCTTACACTGTATACAGTGAATGGTAAGGGGGAACTGCTTGAAAGACCGTGGATTGGAACTGGATCCGCTTCAGGTGGCTGTACTTTATTCAATTGCATGTATGCCTCTTCTCCCTACGCCTACGCGTGAACATGGTCATTGCATGTGTTGCTTAATGTTTACAGATTCATTCTTGGCCTTGTCGATGCATCAGATTCTACATTGAATTGCTTTAAATTCTGTTGGGTCACGTTTTTGGAATTTCGCCCTGATTATTGAGAACTTTTTTCTGGTTATTCTATAGGCCCCGTTTATGGGATGTCCATGGTTGAAGCTACAGAGTTGGCCAAGAGTGCACTCTGTATTGCTGCATCTCATGCACCTGAAAGTAGTTAGATTTGTCAGTGGTGAGTTTCTATAACCTGAAGATTGCGACATTGTGGTTTCTTATACTCGCAATGTCCAATTTTTATAGTATACCTTGTTTTTACTAATATAGTTCAACAAAGCGGACTATCAGAATGGGACTGAGGGAGTATCCCCTCTCTGTTCTGCTTATGACATTTTTTCCTCCCCACGTTGGAAGAGCCGGGGTGACACAGGTGGTCTCTAATGATAACGTAGTAGAATGGCAAAAGCGGCTTTACAGTGAAGCTGACAAACGGTGGCAAGACGCGCTTAAAAGGTACTCGTGCTCGTAGATTGGTGGCAGAGCTCTTTGATGATAAAAGCTGAAGAGTGATGCAGCGTGGGGGTCTTTTGAGTTTTGCCTCCTCTTGTGGACTACACTGTGTCTCCCTCGGTGTTTATTACTTTTGGGTGTGTCCTCTATGGACAATATATTTTATATAATAGTGCGTTGGTAGTATTTATGTTTGTGCGTTGGGTTTTCCTCCTTTTCCCCTGCTTGGACAGATTGTGATAGAAATACAACCAAATGGGGATCTGAATAGATTAAGCGGCCAGGCTTTGGACTTCAAGCAGCTGAATTTCATGCTTTGAAGGGTTTCATACGCAAGCTATTCACAATTGTGGGTGTTCAATGGGAAAATCTCTTTCTTCGTTCCATAATAATTAGTCACTAGGGTATCACGCAGGTCGCAGGCTTTGTGTATACCTATTCAAATCTTTGTAACGAAAACGATTTTTTTTTTTTTTTAACGAATCTTCTCATTCTATGTTTCTGTTGGTATGAACCACATAAATCTTTCCTTTGTAATGAATTATATCTCTCATGGAGTGGTTTATGTTTAATGGACTAAGAAATTTGTTGAGTGATGATGGACAAGTTGAAGTGCTTCTCTTTTGTTTTGTGTATTAAAAACTTCAATGAATTATAGTCATTTTGGATCTTTAATTTACCGTTCACCCGCACATAAATAAGCTTAGGCACAGGATCCTGAAAAACACAAAAGCCCCAACTATGTGGATATTCTTTGTGAATTTTGCTCAATCTCAATCTGATTGGCTAATTGAGAGCCAGTATTCTTAAATTGCAGAAATGCAGCACATAACATTTACATAGATTTTTATGTTTTCTTTTTGGGTTTTCCTCCTTTTCGCCTGCTTGGACATATTGTTATAGAAGTGCAACCAAATGTGGATGCTTTTAGCTCAGAAACATGTTTTAAGTGACTTCAACCTAGTTTCCCTTCACATTGTCATTTAGATATTGGAAGCTTCGCTCTTTTTGATATAGGAATTTTTCACAATCTAGTTTGTCCGCTGGTAAGCCTGACATGGCCCTAAATCTGCATTTTCTGCTTGGAGAGATTATTCTAAAAATTTTAGGGTATGTTTGTTTCGTTTTTTAATGTGTTTTTAGGTATTTTTTGTATTGGGAATGTAAAAAGGTGTATTGAAAATGTAAAAAGATATGCTGAGATGGGACAGTTAATAATATATTAATTTAAAAAAATCATCTAAAAAATGAAAACGTCCTATTTTTGCATCTGAGCTTGATGCTCTGGGGACAGGACCAATGTTCAAAGTATGTCATTAGCAAAGACAATCCACCAGGCTCATTATTATAAACTTTGAAAAGAAAAGAATCATTTAGGCAGACTGGAAAAATACAGAGCAGTGAACCGAAAGGAAATCAACAACCACAGAACCGTGAAAGCCAGAAAGCTCAATTTCAATTCTAAAATGATCCGGAGACCCTTTGGCCAATCAGAAGACTAGGAAATAACACTATTGAAGTTATACAAGCAACTTTGCTTACTGGCCTACAATGCAAGGAAAGGAAGAAGCCATATTCAAAAGTGAGCATTTCATTTTGAACTGCTAAGTAAAAGATTGCAATAGCTATTACTCAGACAGCTTTGGCTCCCCAAAACTATAAGCATAGACACCCTGGCATCACATTCCTGGTTTCGACTTATCCACTAGCTCATCTACAACAATACCCATTCAAGAAAATGATATGGAAAAATACTAAGGGTTTCACAGATAGGGTGCTGTTGCACAACCAAAATTACAACGACCTATTTATCCAGCTACAATTGCAACCAGGAAAAAAATGATACTCAGTTTTGACAGATCTCCAATGAAACTTCTTATAGCTCATGCGTAAAACCTCCCCAATCTTACCTAAGTGAGATAATCCTTGCAACAACAAAACTAATAGACTTACTACCAACGCACCAACACCTATGTTAAACTGTCAAGCCATAGCAGGAACCAAAGGTGCGATATCTTTTGAAGTTCCAGTCAGCACCTGCACCTAGCAGTACAAACAAGAAAGACATGAAGAAGGGCCAAAAGGACTCGATTTTCACATAAAATAACAAAGGGCCAAAAAGAAAGACATGAAGAAGAAGATTACCTTCAGTCATCCATGTCAGTTTTGTCACCGAGAGATGGTAAATAATTGGTCAAACCTTCTCTCCAGCCAGCATACTATTGAAGTAAAAAGTAGAAATGTCAATAGAGAAACAAAAAAAGCTGGGGCGATATCATTTAGAAGGGAGATTAAAAGAAAAATACCAGAGTGAGATTATCATATTGAATCTCAGTACGCCACAAGTGAATTCTCTTAAGGTTTGTGCATGTAAGAAACATATTTTGCGGAAGTGCTGCTAATCCACTATTACAGCGAAGATCCAGTTCCTGCGAAGTGCATGATAAAGGAGGACGCATTGATGTGAGCTCACAAAATCAAGCAACATGAATTTGGATTTAGACAATAAACAGCATACTTACTTCTATATTTGTCAGCATAGAGAGGCTGTCTGGCAGTTCAACTAGAGAGTTCATTGCTAGAGACAGCTGCAAAGTTATCAGATTATGATCATTACGGCCACAATGAGATTTTGATCTATAGTTCCTTGACCTTTCGATTCACAAAAAGAAAAAGTAAATTTCTTTAAAAAAGATCCTACCAGCTGAAGAGACCTGCAGCTTCCAATACTTGAGGGGAGTCTGTTAATCCTGTAGTTTGATTGAGAATAAACATTATAAAAAACAGATTTGAAAATACTCTGCATCCTCCAAAAGAAAAATAAACTTAAATTAAAAACCTGTTGTTATTTGCAGACAACTGTTCAAGGTTCTCAAGAGACCCTATTTCATCAGGGAGCCTTGTCAATTCATTGCCAGATAGATTAAGGATCCTTAGGAATTGTAAGGAACCAACCCAAGACGGCAGCTCTCTCAACCTGCTCATGTCAATGAACAGAATGTCCAGAGAATATTCCCACAATTGCTCAAATCAACAAGTATTAAAGCACTTTGATTTCTTACTGATTTTTGTGCAGGAACAAGTGAAGTGTTTCTGAAAACTCCACAGCTTCTGATGCATCAAGCATATTCGGCAAATGAACCAAGAGATTATGAATAAGAGAGACCTGGAAAAACAGAAAATCTTAGTCATTTGTGCAAAAAGAAAACATTCCTTTCAACAGTCAAATCATGAACAAAGAGCAAACATAAAAAATATAAGAAAATAAAACATACCTCTTTAAGAGAGGAACACCTCCCAATGCTGGAAGGTATGCAGTTGATTTTGTTATAGTCGGCGACGAGGCGACGAAGTTTAGTTAGATTCCCAATTTGCACAGGCAGACAAGAAAGTTCATTGTGACTAAGCTCAACCAGCTCCAACTTTTCCAATGTAAGCAGGATAGGCGGAAGCTCCGCAAAACTGTTTGAAATAAAATTCAGAAGCAGTTTAATTTTCAATTAACCGTTGGTATACAAAAAGCAAAATGAGTAATCCAGATTCATAATCATAACATAGAAGTAACAGATGTTATTGGCTATGGAAATTCATTATAAGATGTTCCACAACTTTCAGCAATAAGTAGTGCAGCATACCAGTTGTTATTGGCTATGAAAATTCTAAGTTCTCTCAGAAGAGAGATTTCTGATGGCAAGCTTGTCAGATGGTTGTTCGCTACTCGGAATTCTACCAGGAATGGTAAATCGCCAATGGCAGGAGGAATTCCCGATATCCTGGCCAAATTAAAATGAGTTCACTTAGCCCAAAAAGAAAAACTACTCTAGCAATTAGCAGAATAGGAAAATTTTCATAAAGCGTCCTATCTCAGTAGTAAAATAAGAGCCCCATAAGTGAAAGTATTGACATCCAAGGTAGGAGCAAATATGTTTGTTATATATTTTCTGAAAGTTCCTTTCAGTACATATTTCGGAACAAAATGTTGGCAAGTTCTTTAATATGATTCTCAGATCAACTTCAGTTTCACAAAACTATTTCACTGTAGATTTATTTGTCCTTCCTCCATCCATGGATGTATATTATGTTAATAATCATATCATAAAAGTAACAAATCATGTAGACCATAAAAGCTAAAAATCTGGAAAGGAAAGACCTTGACAGTAAAAGCAATAAATAATTATTATCATAATAATGGACAGCCCAGCAGTAAAGAAACATTATACAAAACTTACTCATTGCCGCACACGGATAAGAGGGTAAGAGATTTGAAGCAGAATAGTGATTCAAACATGAATTCGCGACGATCCTTTGGGAAATTATCCAGTACCAACTACAGCCGGTAATGTACAGAGTCAAAAACAAAAAAAGAAAACTTAATCGCATGGTATGTATTTAATGTTCGTATTTATTGTTCGCATGTTAATTACTGAAGCAGAAGCTCTGAAGTACATAGCATAAATCCCAAAATTCATTTTACAATATAGATGCAGTCTCATGTCAGGAGAATAATCCGTATGATTCAAATAACTGGCTAGTCTGTATGGTTCAAATAACAGGCAAGCTCATTCCAGCTCCAACAACAACAGCAAGTTCCCACAATTTGGTTGCAGTTATCCCAAATTAGTTTACTAAATGCTGCCTAAAAAGTCTGGACAGAATGCAGAAAACGTCTAATGGCCTCCAAGTCAAAAGGAAATGAAGAATTAGTCTCTCCTAGACTGCAGATGAACCTAAAATCCACAGCTAAGTTCATTCATCCCTATCCAAGCGATCAGATGCAACAAGTTCTCAAGTTATCTATGTTGTTACTTGGTATGTGAATTTGAGGACCAATGAGAAGGTCTTTTTTTCTAGTTTTGGTTTCAATTAATCGTCATCACCGTCTTCCTCAAAAAGTGAATAGGATAGATACAAATACTTGCATTCCTTTGGTTAGACATAATCAAGATCACGGAATTATCTCCGAGGCTTTCCAGACTGCAATCATCAAGAAGCATCCTCCCTTGACATAAAACATTCAAAGAAACAACAGTAATCAGAATTCAAGAAATCTCCATCAAACCCTAACGGAACATAAAAAAAGAAAAAGAAAAAGAAAAATCACACAAGAATTTGCATGAAGACCTCGGCAAACGAGAATTAGGCCAGCGCTGGACAGAGTGGTCATGGATTCAAATGAAAGCTTAAGATCCTTCACCGTGGATGGTAAGGGGTAGCGTATCTTTATCATCCACCCGCGAAAACGGATCTTCAGATCAATTTCCCTCATAATTTTTTCTTGAGAATGATTACTGATGTTCTGAAAGTAGGAAGTAATCTCGCAAAAAGTAGGAAGTAAAATCGCAAGAAAAATCGCAAAGAGTACCAAGAAGCAGGAAGTGAAATCGCAAAATGTATCAGGAAAGTAGAAGTGATCCCTATTTCCGATTCATGAAGGTTTTTTCGTGAACGCTGCTCTAATGGCTTGATAAGAAAGACCCTACTGCTTCTTTCTATATAAATGGTAGCCAGTGCCCAGTGCCGCCGATTTCTTTTGTGCAAAAAATAAAATAAAATAAAATAAAGAAGTATTTTTCAAACATTAAGAAGATTTGCTCGCAGTATTCGGTGAGATGAGAAAAATAACCGATTTAGTCCTAAGATTTGACTACCTAGTCGATTTCATCCAAACGTATCTCAATATGGTCAATTTCATCCTAATATTTAACATTTTGACCAATTTCATCCTACCAGCTAAAAAATGAACAATTTCCTGCAATTGACTAGGTCAACCAGCGTGTTTTTTACTTTTTCATTGCTTCCAAACCTTGGTACTAAAATGGCCAGTTAATTAGCATGATTAATTAGTTTAATAATTACTTTAAAAAGTGACAAAAAATTAAGTGACGTTGTTAATTAACAACAACCTAAGTACTTTTGGAAAAAGGAAAAAATATACTCCCTCCGTCCCATAATTATTGTCCAGTTTGGGTTTTCACTTTTAGTACAGTTTGAACTAAAAATGAAAATTCAAACAGGACAATAATTATGGGACAGAGGGAGTATATTCTTTTTTTTTATTTGTCATGCATCAAACTCCCAATTTTAAATAAGCCTAAATTGTTCTAGTATTTATTTTTTAAAAAAGCATATGATAACTTCTGTGCAATATAAATGGACCGAAATTGGAAGAAACTACGTTCATATTCATTATCTTCAATTACGATATTTCCTAATAATAAAAAGAGAAGACAATGAATATGAAAATGTAATTTTAAGATTTTTTTTTTTTGCAATCAAAAAAATATATTAATTAATTGAACTAAAAATAAAAATTCTGGACAAAAATTTTAGGACAGAATGCCCGAAAAAGTATTACTACGTACTTTAAAGTGATGTCGTTCGGCTGCACCGACCTACATGTATAAAAGGAATTTGTCTTCCGGTTCCTAATCGGAAAGACATAGAGTTACCTCTATTTAAACGCCAGGGTTGTGTGTGTGTGTTTTTTTATATCTGCTAGGGTTCGCAGCTCCAAGGGTACAATCCAGTGCAATTTTGGCTTCGATTATTCGATTCTATGGCGAGGAGGTTTTCAGGTAAACTCTTTATCCTTCCGATCGTTTCTCAGTTCTTCTGCGTTTGCAAATTTTATGGATTTTGACTACGCACTTACACACGATTTATTTAGTTATTGTTTCGTTAATTTATCCTCTGGTTTCGTGATGATGCCAGCTGAATTTTCGCGCAAATATTATTTTCTGATTTTGAATTTTAAAAAAAGCTCCTTTTTTTTTTCCCTTTGCCCCGAGTTCGTCTCGTTGTTGATTGAATTAAATATTCGGGTTTGTGGGTTGATTTTGTATTTTGGTGGGAATGAACAGTGACGTTCAAGGATTTGGGGGGTCGTTGGAGGGAGCTGGAATTGGAAGAGCCGGGTAAAGCAGATCCTGTTCCTGTGTCATTGGAGGAAAAGGGCTATGATTATGATTCGCGGGCATTTGTTCAGGCCAGGATGATATGTTGCGAAGATAGTTTGAATCAGTTGATTAAGCAACGGCTTAAGCAGGAGGATGAGTTAAAGAAGAGAAACTGCAAACCAAACAAAGAAAGTGGTGGTGATGAGGATGATGACCAGGATTATGAAGATGCTTTGGAAGTGGACGAAGAAGCTAAAAAGGTTGATGATGGTGAGCAAATGGATTTCGTAAAGCCTATAACTCGGTCTATGCCTGAAGATCCTTTCCCTGTTATGCATCCAAAGGAGCAAGCTGTATGCTGTAAGTAATATTGTTTTTGTATTCTTAATTCATGTAGCATAAGTTTGTTGCCTGTTAATTCTGGTGAACTTCATTGTATTAATGGGTTGCTATCTTAATAGATTAAGCGGTCAGGCTTTGGAGTTCAAGCAACTGAATCAGGCTTTGAAGCATTGGATAAGGGTCGGGATGTTCACAACCAAGCTGCTCGCGATCATAGGTGTTTTATTTGGGAAAAGTTTCTTTCTTTCTTCTATAATAATTAGTCACTAGAGTATTGTGCAGGCTATTTATAGACCTATTTAAATATTTGTAACAAAATGATTCTTTTTATTTTGAACGAATTATCTCATTTAATGTTTCTGATTATATAAACATATAAATCTTTCCTATGTAATGAATTATTTATCTTCTTAAATTGCAGCCAATCTTTTGGTAGCATCTTCCACTTTTTGATCTGCTGGTGCCAGAAAACAGCCCCCTGAAGGTGTTTTTTAACCTCCACGTTGGCCTAATTGGAAAACTAGTCGTGTTTAATGCTGTTACTGATGAATAAAAAGGAGACACTAAAGGAATATGTTACTTACTACTTGGTAACACGCGGATTAAGTGAGCCAACATCCTTGTTTCTTTAACCTAATGTTTTTCCCAACTGTGGTTGTCATTACGCATCGTTTGCTTACTTCTTAGTACCAGGTTCTTGTTTAGGCTGTTATTTCCTGCGGGCTGGTAGGAGTCTATGGTTCGTGTGTTTGACCATGGTTAATTATCAGTTACTGGATTCAGCCCTCAAACAAATCACCATTCTTTAACAACCGTGCTTTTGATGATTAGGAAATTCATGGCATGGCTCATATTTCTATGTTCTAGGCAATTGATAGGAATAGCCTACAGGCATTCTACATCCTTCTCGAGTTTCATTTTCTTGTGAAGCAAGCTGAATTCTTCGTAGCAACTTTGTTTGCGCTGTTTCAGGAGGAAGCACGACACTGGAAGCTATTCTTGCTGCTTGCAAGTTAATGACTCACTGCAACTAAACCATACTCTATAAGTCTATATCCACCAGGAGTCAGAGCCGAAACGTTAATACACCATTTTGTCAAGAGAATCAGACTGTGGTGAAGGTGATAACACGAGCAATTTGCAAAGTCCACACCGAACCTGATGCATTGACATCAAAGCCAAAAAACCCGACTTCTAGTCTGAAGCAATCCGGTGAGACCTTGGACAGCCAACAGCAGCAGAACTGTGGCCATCGCATGCCGTCTCTCCCACAGATGTCTTGTGTTTCCACTACAGGAATTGGACAAAACAGGAAAACCGTAATTGGTTTTCTTTACAGGTATATACTGGACTGAGGTAAACATCGTCTGGGTTTGCAGTGGGAGTTCTCTCAAGCTGAATTTGTGGAGCTTGCGCGAGGGACTGACTCTGACTAAACCGCTCGGGCACATGACGACGGTTGCTTCTCCGTTTATGTAACTAATCTAACTCACAGGACAACGCCTTCATTTTTCATGTTTTGTTTTTATAGCATTCTTTTGGTTCCTTCCTCCATTTTTATTTTCATGTTTTGTTTTTATATCATTCTTTTGGTTCCTTCCTCCATTTTTACCTGCTTGGACAGATTGTGATAGAAAAGCAACTAAATGTGGAGAATGTTAGCTTAGATATATGTGACATAAGTTTTTTTCTCGATGCCTTCTTAATTAGATGGAAGCTTTGCTCTTATTGAGATGTCCAAAACTATTTTACCCCTCGAAATTATGAGGTGGCCGTCAAATCTACATTCTCTGGAGACTATGACCCTTTTTGCTACCGAGGGAGGACCATTTTAGTCTTTTTCTTATGTAATCGGCCAAAAAATTATGGGAAGGAAAGAAGAAAAAAGCAATGAGCGTTTCAACTTTCAACCATCAGTCAACCGAGATAAGGTAAAAGGTAAAACTAGCGGCAAAGGCACTTCGCAAGTGAACATTTTGGCATGTTCAAAAATCCACAATTGCGGAAACAATGACTTCCATATTGTTGTCATGACAGCTTTTGTTCCTCGGAAGTATCTAAAGCAAAGATACCATGCCATCAATCCTTGGTTTAGACTCGTCAACTAACTCAAATACAAAAATGCCCATTAAGAAAATGACTCGGAACAATTCTAAGGGCTTTCACAGATAGTGTACTGTTGCACAACCGAAGTTACACCAACTTACCTACTTATCCAGCTACAATTGCTACTGGCAAAAAATGATATTCAAATTTAACGGATCTCCAATGAGAATTTAAGATGCTCAGACATAGAACCTTTGCCCCAATCTTACCTAAGGTACTTTAATTGTTGCAACAGTAAAACTAATAGACCTACTATGATTACTCACCAACACCTCCTAACCTATGTTAACCATCAAGCAGTAGCAGAAACCCGAGGTGCCATATTCTTCGCAGTTCCATTGGCCATACTTCCTGCACTGGAGCGGTTCATGCGACCTCCATTACTGTCCGATCTTTGATATCCATCACCACGGTTTGATGATGCCCCCCGGTTACTACCTCTGTTACCAAACTCACTCCTGCCATTGAAATCACCTCGATAGTTCCTCCCACCACCATAGCCTCCACGTCCTCTTACTCCATCATTTCTGAATCCTGAACCCCTGCCAGACTGAAACCTTCCTCGACTAGTTCCTATAAGAGACAAGGGAAAATAAGAAATTACTTGACAGGAACTAATTCAAGCTCCCACATCGAAGCCAGACTACAATAGACAGAATAAGCAGCACACTGCAGAATTGAAATCATTATGACAACAATAATACTTGAGATCATCAAAGAATTTCCTATCTGAATTCGAGAAATTATATCAGTCACTAACTCATTCATCAGCAAGAAAAAACACTTCAATCAATCACATTTAACCCGTTTATAGGACAATAAAAACAATAGCTAAGGCAAATCACAACTTACCTCGAGAATTTGTGGACCTCTTTTCCTCAACAACAGCCTGACGGCCACCGATGTTAATTGGTGAAGCCTGAAAAGGCAATTGAACAACTTAAATGCTCATAAAAACAATTGAAAAGAACTAAGTTAGGGTCTCACTGACTTCTTCATGCACAAGAACAATCAGAAACAAAAGGAAAACAGAACAAAACAGGGACACACTGCTAAGATTTATTGATAAAAAACAGTATTACAAACAATCTCGCAAACCAAGAGGAAAAAGGAAGTCAATGACAATAGTAGAAAGGAGGTCCAGTAAAAATCAAAATCAGCCTCCAGTTATACAGTGTCCAGGAAAAGTTGGGCCTCAAGGCCTGATACATGCATACTAGTACAATTTATATACAGGAGGCCATATCCACTATGTGAAACATAACATCCAAAGAGAAGATTAGGTATCTGCATCCAAGGAGGCCCCCATCCATGCTGCCATGGGGAAATAACTTTAATTCAATTACATGGAACAGCAAGATCCTACTCAGTTCATTTAGTCAATAGAGATCAAACAAGTTTCAAAGAGTAGAAACAATGAGCATGGGTTCGTGACATTCAATAATCAGAGCCCAGCAACAGGGAAAAAGGCATTAGAAGTTTTCAAGACTTGAACTGCACTTAAAACGGTTATGAAGTCATAACACATAACAAGTATCCAAAATAGAGCAAGAAGAACGCAACGAAGTTTTTGAGAGAGAGAGAGGCCACCAAGCTTTGGAAATAGTATCATGACATAATCATAAGGAAGGTGTAAAAGCATATCCGTACAACCACGCACTAGTGAAGAGAATAAAAAAGAAAGCTAATTTAAGAAGCCATTGATCAAAACATGCCAGGGAAATGCATGACGAGCATGGGAGACGCTTGCAACATAGACGAAACTACTTTTTTTACTTCACAGAAGAAAGGAACCACACAGATCAGCAGCAATGCTTCTATATATAATTTGTTGAAATTAATGATGCTATTATATACAACAATAGTTATAAAAAACAATGTACCTCAATTGCCTTTTGAACAGCACTCGGCACCTCAAATTCCACAAAACCAAAACAAAAGCCGGATGGCTGCAGAGAGAACAACATGGTCATAAGGCCAAAACAGAAAGATTTAAGGAAATGTGCAATCATGTCGAAAATACTTACTCTGCTATTTCTAACTTGAATGCCATTATTCTTGATAGGCCCAAATTTCTTGAATTCATTCTCAAGTAGGCTCACAGTAGCATTCATTGGCAAACCCTTAATATAAATTGAATAGCCCTCAGCTGTTGCAAATCAAGAAGTTGATAAGAAAAATACAAGCTGAAATAGAGAGCCACAAAGCAACAGAAGAAAAGGGGGGTGTTGCAGAGAAAAGTTCAAAATAAACATGCCTTCTCCCTCTTGATTATTCCCATTCTCAACAGCATCAGAACGGGAGACCAGTCCGTCAGATTCTGGTTCAGCAGGAGGGTTAACTTGATCTTGGTTCTTTGTTAGGGCTTTCCTGGGAGGGGGAGTAGGAGATGAAAATGTTGCATCGCTATCTTTCAGATGCTTCACCTAGAAAAAAGTCAAAAAGGACATAAAGCGATCATTAATTCATAGAAGACGTACCTGCAGTTTAAAACACTTTACAGGCGACTGATAACCACATTCTAATTCGGTATAGAGCATATAGCAAACTTACAAAACCACTTTTTAAATAGCACATTAGAATTAATATGATCCTATACTAATACTCACAATGGAGGCATATGACTTCTTCGGGGTGTCTTCAATCTTCGGGTTCGATTCAACCACTGGATGCGACTCATCCTGGGGTTCATCAACCACTTCCTCCACCGGAACCTCCTCGTCAGTAATAGGTACATCTCCATTCTCCTCCGGTGGGTTATAAACTTCCCCACCATTAACCTCCTCCGTTGAAGGACTGCTTATTTCGGATACATTATTCTCCTGCGCAGCAGGCTGGGGAGGATCTGCAGCATGACAAGCAACAAACTCTCACTTCCCATATCAATGTGAAACAATAAAGCAATCAAGCAAATTACAATTCTAATACTTTGTTCTGGAGCAACAGGAGCCACATCATTATTTGCCACTGAACTGGGGTTCACATTCTGCTGGTTTCCATTTTCAACGTATCGAAAGATATCATTCAAAACGAAATAACCCCTATCCTGTGGAGCAAGGAAGAAAGTTTGGGTAAAATTGCGGATATTGTTGTCTTTCCCGGTCAAATATCCCGTCACGAGGACCTGCACTCCACCATTGAGAGACTCTTGCGCATCAACAGATTTGATCTCAGCTCTGTACTCAGCATAGTTGAGCGCCAATATCTTTTCATTAATAGCCTGCAAATTCATTAACCAGACAATTCAAAAATTGTAAAAAATTACAAATGCGAGAACATGAAAGCCCAGATTGTAATCAAATGTATAGATCTTTTCATTCATTCCCGTACTCTGATTACAAACCACAATCTCCTAGTTTCGCCTCTTCATATCTACATTTTTAATATCAGGGGCTCCAAGCTCGTTACTTACTCTCTAAAATTAACTTAGTCGTCGAAAGATAAACAGAGATACAGCATATATCAGTAAAATTGTTAAAAGTAAACAGCCAGTAAAAGAGTATAATACCTGCATAGTGGTGGTGTTGCTCATGATGCCATCATCACCAGGCCGACCAAGCTTACTGGAATCCTGATAAAACCGGTGAACAAGCTCCGGCGAGAGGTGCAGAATGTGATAGTACTGTTGGACGAAAGCATTTCCAACCTGTCCATCCATTTGCGGAAAAAAAAAAATCAAAACAATGAAATAGGAACTAAGGATGTCAAACCCCGGCCCCAAAAAAAATGGTAAAAATCAACACTTACAACTTGAGCAGAAACTGGCTGGGGTGCTTGTTGCGGTGCGGGTACTGCTGCTACTGCTGCCATTTCTTATTGATCCCCTCTCACAACCTACAAAAAAAAAAAAAAACCCTAGAAATGTTAACAGAGAGAAACAGAGCAAAGCTAAACAGAACTCGTGAGAAGGAAAACTTTCAAGATGACTTCAGAACCTAGAAGAATCTATGTGTATAAAGAATAAGTAAGCGATCTGCAACTTCACCTGAATTCGAATCGGTTTTATTGAAATGAAGGAGCGAAGAGTTGGCTGGAATCTCTGTCTACTCTTTATTCTGTTACTCTACTCTCCCTCCTCTGGAACGACGGCGGTGGCGGAGCTAGGGTTTTGCTAGGGTAGTGGGAGCGGATCTTCGAGTAGGCAGCGGAGAGCGGAGGAGAGAGAGAGAGAGAGGGGTTTCAGCGGATTTTTATTAATAATGAGTTTGAGAGAGAGAGAGAGAGAAATGTTTTTGAGTGCGTATGACTGAAGCGAGTGAAACCAAAATCATTTTATTTTGTACCGCCTCCCGATTAGGCAATTATATTCTTTACCCACGAAATTTCCAACTAATAATAATTCTATTTTTTTTTATATAAAAATGTAAATTATCTTTTTTTAAAACAAAAATTGCAATAAACTCAAAAACGAAAATATCAAAAATAGTTCTTATTACGTGATGGATTTTCGAAACTTTGTCAATAAATAGCACCGCTTCACTAATAGAACTGTACTATAATAATAAAAGAAAAATGAAATAGAGAATCTGATCTGAACAAACGCGCATTCATAATGATGAATGACGATTAAAAATGGTACTAGTACAAATTTGATTGAAAATTGTCACTTATCGGGTCGATTAAAACTATTACATTATGATGGATTAATTCCATCATAAAGCATAAGAGATTCACTGGATCTTGGAGATAAATAACATAGAGTAAATGCATCATATTCATAATGCATGGATTGAGTAAATGCATATCATCATAAGCTAAACCAGAATACTTAATAAATTTTGTTCATCTTTATCTTTGATTAATGATTCAATTGAGGTTTCATTTTGATATTCATTAGATTCTTTTATCCTCATAAATTTGATCATAGTGTAACGGTCTTGCTTAGTACTACATTTTGAATCATGTGTTGTCTTTTCATTTTTACTTCTTTTTTTTTTTTTTTTCCCGATGATCCGCATTCGGGTACATTGGATTAGTTTTGCTAAATACTACTACACTCTTGTATCAGGATTTTCCATGAAAAATGTCTGTGGACCATTTGGGAATTTCTGTCTACGGATCTTTTTTTGACGGTATCTTCACACGAGACAAAACTTCTGAACTTGTTGAGTAATTTACCAAACCAGCTTCATAATACATACTTGATGAACACAAAGGACAGTGTAAATCCAGATCATGACCCATAAGCCATGCCAAACCACATTCCCTGATAAACTACCAAAGTGACAATTTGGACTGTTTTCCCACAAAAAACACTGCACCAAAAGGTTATGAAATTGCTTCTACATAGTACCGGAGATCATCAAATGTGAGACCTGCTGTATGCAGAAGAGAGACACAATTGTCAATCTCCAAAATCATAAACAACCACGAAACTGGAAGTAAATAAAATCATAAACAAAAGAGATTCACAGTGCAATAATTATCATTGCCAATGACCAATACTAGCAAAATTTTCGACATCATGGGTATACAAACTTGCAACATGATTGAGAACACGGAACTATATATTAAAAAAAACAATGCAGCTAAGTAAGCTAAGGTAAAGAAATGCCCCATATAAAGATATAACTTCTGCAACTGAGTGTTAACTGAAAATATTATGAACAATTGAGAAGCTTGAGCCTAAACTAGTACAGAAGTGACAAACGCTAAGAGTGTAAGACAGCATAAAACATTAGTATCAGTTCCCGTGTAAGAGAGAAGTATGGGCAGCATTACTAGGTTCTGGAAGAGCTCACTCCTAACACTTCAACACATGCAAACATGATCTGAGTTACAGACCAAAATTGCATGCTCGGATATGCTCATTTTCGTAGTCAACATACTTGGTCCAAAGTGGCCTATACTGAGTCATGGCAATGTCCAGCCATGGTTTATTATTACCGTTGAAATGCACAACTGCAGCAGTATCGATCTCGTCCTTTTCAATATTGGCATTATAACCAAGGCCCAAAACATGCCAGGACTTCTCAAGCGGTTTTGTTGTTGAATAATATGTGATGAGACCAGGAGGCAATGTCCCCAATTTCCATAGTGTGCGGTTTTCATTCTGAAAAAGTGAAACTCAAAGATTAGAAATAATACACAAAGTTTTATGCATGATTAAGGTGCTAGATGAAAGAAAGGACATCAGAATAAGGCATAAAACATTAACTCAAAAGAGAAAAAAGCAGTGGCCTCTACCAACAAAATTAATGCCATAAGAAAATAAACGAATTATCAATCTCCAATGACATCCAAAAGGCAAAAGATATTCCAATTATCTTCAAATAAACATACACTACAACTTACTAAAGGGGCCAGCACACTGAGTCATAAAGATAAGAAGGAAAAGTGAGGAGACTAAAGACATGAGTATTAATTCAACTATCATCAAGCACAAATGACGGCTCAAGACCAAACACATAACATTGGATCAATAAACATATGGGTAACTAACATATTAAGTTAATTATCAAGCGGTAACTTGAAATCTCAATGCAATCTTACCAGATTCTGCCAGTAGTGATATTCTTCGGTACACTTTTCCCTCCTCCAAGCATCCAAGTCAAAGAAATTCATACCATATGCCCATGCACATGCATTTGGGCTGAATTTAGCTTTGATTAAGGGATGAGAAAAATTCATGTATTGTTTATATCGGTGAAATGACCCAAAGCACGTCTCCACAGCTCCATTCACCTTCCCATCCATATCAATCTTCCAAAGCCCAGTCAAATCCTTCTGCACCACTATATCATCATCCAAGAACAAGATTCTATGCAATTTTGGGTACATCTCTGGTAAGTAGAACCTCAAATGATTCAATATAGAGAGATACTTGGGATTTCTGAATTTCATGTTTGTGGTGTCTTTTGTAGCATTTTCCAACTTATTCTCAAAGTAAAACTTCTGCAGATTTGCAGATTCAAGCTGTCTAAGAACCGGAACATATGAAGAGTTCAGAAACTTGTAATCTTCCACAGCCTTCACTTCAATGTGAGCCCCATTGTAATCCTTTACCTTGAACATGACTTGCATAGCCCCAAGATTCATCTTATCAGTCACCACATGAAACACGTGCTTCGATGGGTCTTTTGAGTTAATTACGGCAGAATTCACCACAACAGAAGCAGCAACCACATTGTCAGAGAAAATGGCATAGTGATATAGCTTTGGATCCTCAAACTCAGGTGGTGAGGGCTTGCCTTCGTCATTATACTTTTCAGGGTGGGCAATTCGCTCTTCCATCAATCTCATTGCAACACAATGTAAGCTCTTGGGAATTGACTTTGCAGCAATCAGACTTGAGAAAGCTCCCTGCTTCTTCGCCTTGGTTAACTGCTCATTCACAGCAAAGATATTATCTTTCAGCTTTTGGATTTTGAGCTGATTATCAAAACTCTCTTTCGCCTCTGAAATCACTTGCCGCGTCACTTTAATTCTTTCCTTCACCTCCTTCTCATACTGCCTGAGTTGGGACTCATCGATTGAGGTGGCATCTGCATCAAACAGATCCTTATAAAAAGGCTTTGTAAGGAGATCAGTGAAGTTGCGAGAGAGATCTGCGAAAACCCTCACAAGCTTGGAGTTCTCCAGCTTGAGCTTTCTAGCATAAGCAGCATAAGCCTGAACCAAAGATCGGTGATCATCGGCTTGCTTACGGAGCTGATCCAATTTAGGCTTCAATGGATCTGATTTCATAGCTAGAACCGACCTGCCAGAGCGTCCAAGTACATAGGAACCAAAAGAAAAACCCTAACCCCAAAAGACAAAGAACTAATTACCAGCCATAGAAATTGGATTGTATATTAAAATGTGCAATTTCCGAAAAGGAAAATCGAACAACAGTAAAACATACATGTGAACAACAACTTCGGGTGTAAAAGCAAAAGAGATTCAGAAGCACAATAAAGGTAATAATTGCATTCGATCAGAGTAATAGAGCACAACAACAATAACAACAAATTCTATATCTAACAGAAAATAAAATTAACAGCGCAAATGAACATAAGCAAACACATAAATCCACAATAAATACCAAAACGTCAACCAAACTGACCGAATCAATGAATGGTACAGTAAAGATTAAATGACAATGAAATACAGAAAGGAAAACGCCAAAACTTACTTGTTCGAGATCGGAGGGAATGGAGGAAGATTTGTGGAGGGAAGAGAAAGTGAAGAAGAGAAAAAACACGACGGCGAGAGCGGGGACGGAGAACTTGAGATTTGATGAAGAGAGTCGAGAAACCCCAACTTGCGGAGCCGTCGGTCGATCCCGGGGCGTGGTCCGGAAGCCCCGAAATCTTCCCATCGCCATATTTAAACTATCCTGTGAGCAATCGTAAAACCAAAAATCAGTCCCACTGATAAACACTAGTTTGATTGATCTGCAAATGTGAACAGAGAAGAAGAAGAAGAAGAAGAAGAGAGGACTGGGAAGAAGAAGGAGAAGAAGGAGAATGGAGATGATGTCAGCCGCAATGACTAACAGAGAGAGAGAGAGAGAGAGTGGGAAAACGCGCCAGGGATTGACGGTGGCCAGAGGGAAACGCGATTTGTAGTTTGGGAGTAGTTGGGACCACCACACTTTTTTATATAGTCTTCCCAGTCTCCATCGATCCCAACCGATATATACGTCTTCCAGTGAATTGAGCCTTAAACTTGGGGGATTGAAGTTACTGGCTTCATTCCAAACTCCAAAGTTTATCATTTTATCATTATCGTTCTCATGGAGACTGTTATATTGTGTTTAATTTAATACCTATCCCTTAATAATAATTTTCATAATTATCGTCAGATTTTTTAAAAAGAAAAAATTTAGTTTGATAATCTAGCCGATTGAATGTTTTATGTGGCGCCAAAAAAAAACAGAAACTTCATACAGTAAATTGTGAGCTTATCAAATATATCTTATTATATTAAAAACAAAAACCTCCCTTTCAAACACCTCATATGATTGCCACGTGGCATGTAGAAAATACTAAATTGCCTTTTTGTCTAACCATGACTAAATTACTAAATCTCCCTTTGCACTTTACGTGACACTTTTTTTAAAAAAAAAAATTTCTTTATGTTTCATTCAACTAGAGTGGTTTTTTAAATTGAATTGATCAATTAGGTTTTTTGTTACAAAGTGTCAATTTTGTTTTAAGCGTATACCCTTTGGATGAAACTTATTACAAAGCTATTAAAAATCTCCAAAACTAAGTATTGATTTGACACGACCAATAGAGAACATCAATAAATCATCTTACTAATATTTAAATTTATTAGGATACTTTTATATTTTATCTAACATTTACTTCAACACCTATATTCGATTAAGCTATTTATATTTAATAAACTATTTATATTTGTATTTTTTGCGAAATACAAATATTTCTATGATCACACTTATAAAACATTTCTAAATCCTTCAAACATTTCTAAAATATATCGCTCCAATATAAAATTTTATTTTTTTCAAATATAAACATTTCTAAGATCTACAGATAGACTGGGCCAGGATCGCGCATTGCGCGACCAGACATCACTAGTATTATTCATATAGGAGTACTTTGTATAGAGAAGGGGTGGAATAAACGGGATGGTACATTGAACATAAATTTGACAAATGCAAACTAAGTGAAGAATGTTACAGTGAAAAATGCATATACAATTCCAATTAGTCAATAAATTCAATTTTGTTTAACATAAAAATATTTCCAAACAAGGTTACTAAAATTAAATAAATAGGTGTCATCTCTATGACTAATTCGGATTTGAGTCTGATAAGTCTCTTTCTGAAGGTTCAACATGTATTTTAATCATTGTTGTATATTCATACTCAGAGTTCAATTTTTTCTTTTTTATTATTCAGACCAAATGATTGTTGGTAAATGTTAAAAGATTTAATGGAGACAAGAACATTTTGTAGTTTGCTAAGCTCAACCTGTGCGGTGGATAGCGTCATTGTTTTTGCCGACGCAATAGTGGAAATGATTTCACCTTTTCTTTTCTCAGTCGACACAGGGATTAGATAGAGAGAAACATCCGTAAATCAGATTCTTTTTGGAGTTAGGTTAGACTTATTGAATCAGGTAAAAAGTATGCGTTTGTAGTGTTCTTCATCATTTAATTAAAATCTCACATTAGTTAAATACTCCTGCAATATACTAATGTACAATCTTTGAATCTTAAACCATCAGCTGAAAGTGCTGAATTTTATTTAATCCAGGCACTTCCCATCTCGATTTTGTCCCAACAGATTCAATAATTTTGGTCGGTAAGAATACTAGTTTTGTTCATGTGCAAATGTTGACCCTATATGCATACAAAACACGTTCCCCAATTTCTTATATAGAACCCTTGAATCTTGAACAGCAAAATACTACTTTCTCCATTCCAAAATAAGTGTGATTTTAGTAAAATGAAAAAATTTTAAAATACGTGTCGTTCTCACATTTTAATGCACTTTTTGTTCAAAATTTCCAGAATTACCCTCAAAAGAATTAATACTATTAGTGGACATTTTCTCAATAGGGTTGGTTGAGGATATTTAAGTAATTTTGTTATCCTATTTAAGAATTTCTTAAATTCTGTGTAAAGTGTAAAACGACACTTATTTTGGAACGGAGGAAGTAGTATTAAGTTTATTGGAATTACTACGCATTTGATTCCTTTTACGGGAAACGAAACTTATCTCAAGTGTACTAGTAGTAGTTCTGTGCCCACAGTTTGTGGACAATGATTAAATCTCGGGTAAGGAGATGGAAACGAAGATGATGAAGTAATAGTAAAGTTTACAAAACTATTTACTAGTAAAAATTTCCAGGATTAAAACATTATTGTACATCCTGCTTACCACTGCTACTATTAAATCATCTTTTGGCACTATTGATAAAAGCTAAAAAATGACAATTAATGCATCAATATTTGTCACCATTGTGAACCTTCTTGCTATGATGCTTCTTGAAGCTATGCAACCATCCAATCCCTTTAATGGCCTTGGAAAATTTCACCAGATTTGGCCTTCCCATTCCTCCCAAATTCATCTTCCCCGTTGAGAATTTCAGGGCCTGTAAGCAGCACAATTGCCCATTTGTTGATTCATCATCATCATCCTCAATCTCTTCTTCATCATCTTCCTCATGAACCTTAATCTCATACTTGTTCTTAGAACTCTGCTTGCTGGTCTTCTTGGTGTTACTCTTCTTCTTGCCATTTGCTTTATTCTTAGTTGATGTCTCCGATTCATACGTCTCCCACAACAAATCCATCCCTTCACTGCTCTGATCCCCGGCGCCGGCGCCGGCAGCGGCAGCATTATTGTGCCGTTCTTCGAAAAGCTTGCACGCCAGAGTCCTCTTCCATTCTTTCTCCTTCCTCATTGATCCATAACTGTAATCCAATGACGGAGAAAAACTCTGAACCCTTAAGCTGTAATTTCCATGGTCATTTGTGTAATCTGCACTAGCACCAATACTGTGAGAATGCACTTTTAGAAGCTTTGACTTGTAACACTCTTCTCTGCCTTTTTCTTTACCAACCGAATGATTGCGTCTTATTTTATCATTATCCCCTGTTTCTGCTTCTTCTTCCTCTGCTGCCTCGGATCCATTGCTCAATTGTGACTTTTTCTCATTAATATTAGCTTTATTGGCCTCTGTGCAAGGTGGCGCAATTTTCTTCAATTCCACAGTACTAATTCTGTTCATCACTTTAACATCCTCGAAATCATCATCATCCCAATCTTGCCAAGAACTACCCAATTTCTTATCATCTGCATCTTCCATATCACCCCAGTTGCTCTCCGATTCAGCAAAACTCTCCAATTCCGTCTGGCTGGCTAATGTTTCTTCATCCGGGCTGCAGGCTTCTTGAACAGAATCATGAGTATTCTTGGATTCTGGCTCTGATTCTTCAACTTTGTTGACAACATCAGCATCATGAATGGTGGGCTGTTCGAAGACAGCTCTGAAAACTTCAAAATCCTCCAACCGAAGATATTCCTCTCGTTGATTATCTATCTTAGACCTCAGCAACTCAACAATTGAACGATAACTAACAGTGAGAAAACTTACCTTGGTTTCTGGTGCTGATTGATTGTCATTAATCAAGAAGTTCGGGACGAATGTTAAGAAAGCAAGGAGGAAGAGGGATGTAGTAACAAAAAGAGGGAAGATAAAAGACAGGATTTTGTGAATGTATGGGAAGAAGAAAATCAGGAAGGCAAACTGTAAAGGGTGGGAGAAAATGAAGGAACAGAGGAGGAAGAAGTCAGATTTGATGCGGGTTCTTATGAGGTGATACCTGGACGTGCTTGAAAAGCACAGCTCAGACATTTCTGAAAAGCTCGTGTTGGAGATTCAGATACAGGAACAGGGGAGAGAGGAGCTTGAATTGGGAAAAAATTGGAGATGGGGAAGAAATGGTGGAAGTAAGTTTGGAGTAGTAGTAGTACCAGTGTGTGACTGTGTGTGTGTGTGTGTGTGTGTGTGTGTGTGTGTGTGTCAGATGGTTTTGTTTTGTCTGCAAAATGTAGTTAAGAGAGGGGATCAAGGGGAAGCTGCAGGTTTGTGATTTTTTGTGGGGGTGAATGCGGCGTGAATAAAGGGAATGCAAATTATTCCAATTTGTTTGATAGATATAGAGAGACTATATAAAGGGACCATCATCATTTACAAACCTTTTTTCACCTATCAAATTTTACCTTTTTACCTTTTTACCTTTTTACCTTTTTCCAATAGTTAAAACAATTAGGTATACCTGTTACTGTTTTATCTTTTTATAATAATAATAACGGTTTTCCATTAGGCTTCTTGTTTCTATAATAACCATGGAATTGCTATGTGTAAAGTAATACTCCCTCCGTCCAAAAAAAAAAAAAAGTCCACATCGATTCTGAATTTTATCCTGTTTTTAATACAAATTTACAAACTCAATGTAAACTATTTTTGTGGGACAGAGGTAGTAAAATTTATTCTAAAACCTCACCTTAAGGAGTTCATCTCATAATAGCCTAAAAATAATGGAGACTAGTTTTGCAGTTGTATACATATTGTCATATCACACTCTTTAAGTTTTATCATAAAATTTACATCTTTTTTGGTGATGGGTTACATAGTTAATGCGCAAGAAGTAAGACCAGTTAACTTAGTCAATCAATAGCCTGTTCTGCAATGCACATGTTTGGGATTCATTCACAGATTATGATCATTTTGTAACTCAAGGGAGAAAATAATTGTATATAGTAAATTTTTATTATGGGTGAAAGGATACCCATTCATAAGGAATCAATTTTAAAGAGCAATCATTTAAAAACTATGCAATAATGGTTATGCTACGCAATTATGATATCAGTACTACTACTTACTATTCCCACTCTCCATGTCATTTCTAACCAAATTCTCACTATTACATACTCGATGTTCATTAATCTCATCCATCACAAACGCAAAAGAGATTCCAGCAATCTGCAGTTTTGTACAAATGCTCATTTCCAATTAATTCCATCTTAGTTGATCACATGAAAACCTTTTTAGCTCTGTATCAAGTTGTATGAAACGCAGAATTAAGCTAGAACCCTTTTACATCGAGATTTGAGATATACAAATGGTTTATTTAAGCCTATAATTGGTGTATTGAAGTTGAACTGTTCAATGCACTGACTGAGCAACCTCGCCACAACCCCGGGCACGGTATGCGCCGATTTGCATCAGATTTCCTCCATTATTTTAAACATCTCATTTTTATTATAAAGACAGCTAAATTCAAATAGCCATAGAATATACTGCCGCAGAAGACAGTCAATGTCTACTAAATACTCCTACTTTGGTATCTCAACCTTTCTCGCTTTTCGTATCATATAATAACTAAAATACCTTACATGTGATACCTACGCAAGTAAATTTTTTTTTTTTTGGGGGGTGGGGGTGGCATTGATAAAGGGGATAGGAAGTTGAACTACAATAGACTTCCAATGAAGATTGGTTACTTATAAGGAAATTTCATCTGATTCAATTGACTTTATGCAAGAAAAACCCATTTTAGAAATATGAATGCCAATGAATACAGGCATTCAAATTTAAGACGACTCCAATATTTTCTTCCTGATCAAGGTTTGTTATTCCAAGATGTGATGGTTGAATGGGACGGTTATGGCGACAAAACATCGTTACCACGAAGATGGATGCCCAGAAGAAAAAGCTGGACGTCAAGAACTCTATCTAGGAAGACATCAGATGGAGTTGCCCCGAATCAGGTCCAGTGATGATTTTGGCGGGGCTCGGTAATTAGTAAATGCACATGACAAACCACTCAATAGCTAGCTATTCAAGTGATGATGGTATCCCAAGCACACTTTTGTTATTATTCCTCTCCATCTTTGCTTTTCAACGGGACTGCCCTACATGTTTGCTGTTAATCCCTTTTAGGCTTTTAGTTACCAGCAGGCAGCAGGGCAATTGTTTTTTCACTTTTTGGAAGAAAATTTGCACCTGATTTCTTACGTCAAATCCGACTTTGACTCGAGAGACCCAAGCATCTTTTAACCTTTTTTCCGCACATATCATTATGGCGATGGCTGTTCATAACCAGATGTTTTTGTTCCCATGACCACGCATAATCTTTGCATTTCTTGTTGCCACTTTTCATCGTGTTCAAAGGGTTATGACTTATGACAATGATGGTCAATAGTACCAACATGCTTTAACTAAGATGATGAATTGGGGATGAATGCAGTGAGAGCTATGCTTCTCTTCTAAGCAAAATGTTGACAGTGTTAACAAAGTCACCCTCCTGCTCAGAGCATCCCCATCAATCCTCGATTCCTGATGCAGCTAAATCATATCGGAATGGTCCTTTTGGCATCTGACATCCTAATGGACCTGGCAGTGCCAAGTGCAAACCTTTCACTATTTGCCTGCCATAAATGCAACGTCCTACCAAGTCTAACCTAGTTGGAAATGTCAAGAAAAGATCATGTGCTATGTACCTGTACGAGGAAATCAAACAGAAGCAGAGGCATAATGGTTCAGCCTATGAAAAGATCATCTGCTATCTACCTCACCGAGTAAATCAGACAGAAGCAGAGGCATAATGGTTCAGCCTATGAAAACCTAGTTGACGTCTCCACTCTCCATGACAGGAAAACAATCCAGAAGCTTCAACGGCGCATGATACAGACTACAAGGTAAGCTTACATAAACTTAAGCAAATCCAGCAACCTGGCCTGATATCGTGGACTATCATGGCTTTTGATCAACTACTCCCAATTTACAAAAGAGGAAAAAGAGTGAACAGATGTGTCAAAAAACTAAAATAACCAAGCCTTGCTGTTTTAAACAAAATGTTTCATCCATAAGTCATTACAACACTACAACAAAAAGCATAGCATAACGCTGGACCCAAACATTGGCAGTCATGATAGAATATCAACCATTTTCAAATTTCAGTTCGGTGACATCTGGAACTACAATACTAAACTGACTCCCATTCTTAGGACTGCATCGAAATATCACTCCGTCATAACAGGCTTGTTCTCGTTTGCCTTCGGCTTGTGCTCCCTTGGCTTCTGCTCTTCAGTTTTCCTAGAAATGAAAAAGAAAGTCGGTGGCAAGTTAGAATGAAGAAAACCACAACTACAACTTAAATATGAACAAACAACCTAAAATGAACCATGACGAAGAGGTTTACAGTATTTCAAACCACGAAAAAAAAATAATAATAACAACTAAGAAAAACTTCACTGACTTATCTGATAGAACACCCACACAAAATAAAGAGTAAAAGTTCCTAAAGAAAACAACATTAAGAAAGCATTCTGTAGATAATGAAACCCTCAATTCAAAAGTCAGGCGGACATGGTCCAAACGACCTTGTTTGATAAACTTTGAAGAAACTGGTACACCATTAGAGGTTACATCAACTATGGTATGACCAAAAAACAATATCCTGAAATGCATACACTCATACGTTCACCTTTATATAAAACATATATCAGAAGACATTAAAGGAATGCTCCAGTAGTAGGGGGAAAAAAAAATTCCAGCAGCCCAGAAAGAGGAGCAACATAATTACAAAATTATAAGGTAAACAAGACCGTAAGCAAATCAAAGGTAAACCCTCCTAAACCCTATAAAATACACCTACTTATCATAACATCCATTAATCGGCTACCCCCTTTAACGTGTTATACATTGTCAGACGACATGATATTGAAATTGACAGTAAATTAAACGGGCTCGGCTGAAAACTATACAAATATTCTGTTTTCACTATTTTGTGGAAGCCATGTTTCGGAATTTTTTCGATTTTCAGCAGCAGACATAACAAAATTCAAGCAACAAGACATCATCGGGAAAAAAAAAGGAAGCAACAAGACTTCATCGGGGACCAAAAAAAAGGAAGATGAATATAATCTACAAAGCTTATATAAAGCCAAAAAATTAGCTGAGATTAACAGAGAGACATATAAATATTACCTCTTATCAGATGCGCCTCCCTTCTGGCTGAGGAATGATCGGAAAAGGGGAGAGTTGACGTCGTAAATCATTGTCGCAGATTAAAGTTGGTACGGACAAACCCTAATTTCGTTCCTCTTTGTTAGAATTCTCTGGAGACAGCTCCGTGAGGCGTGTATTGATATTTCCAGTCGATAGCTGGTATTTAATGGATTTTGGCTGCCTTTACTCATTGGGCCTAGGATTATGATGAAGCCCAGCCAAAATGAGTTTCCGCAGGCCAGTCAGTTTGGACCTTTTTATTTCTTATTCTATCTTTCCTTTAATTAGGTGTTTCTACTTTTTTTTTTTTTCCTCCCCATTTATTTTACAAGAGAGGTAGACGTAGATGATGATCAATTGATCTTATATTTCCAACTAGATATAACCCGTTTGTAATCACGGGCAACCTAATAATTTTTTTTTCGCCCGGCCAACATCATTGACATGAGTAATGATTCAAGACCGTTACCGTATTTAATAATCCAAACATAAAATTTTATATCTACTTTTAATAGTAATATCGCAAAAAAGTTTTGTATATGAACACGGTATTCTTAATTTATAAACACCCAAGTATCATTATTTACACATCATTTATTGATATAAACACTTAAAATGAAGATTTTATAAATATAAATAACATCCTAAGCCGTAGCAGCGCATATTCAACCTGTGAAATCAAAGACTATCCTATTAATTATTTTGTGTTCGAGCAGCAAGATTGATAAAACTACTAATAAATAAGCAAGTAAAACAAAAAATAAAAAAATAATAAACTCTTCTGGGAAATGGAGACATTACATGTACATTTTGTTGAAAATAGTTTTCCTTCCCAACAT